TTTACAATGAAGTGAAAGAGCGTAAAAATCCCAGCCTTCAAAAGTGTGCTGTGCTCTGATATTTTGTTCCTATCTTAAGTATGGTACTGGTATACGTTAAACGAAGTTGATGCAACAATCTGACGTTGTGTGTCTCTTGTATGGGTCTTTCTTCGATGGGCTTTTTTCCAGGAGGCGTTTAAGGTTTCGTTTGCTGGAAGCAATATAACAGATGAATCTTTCATTTCAAATATTACCTATGTTATTTAAACAAATTTGTTCTTCCTTGCTAATTCGCATTCAAATCATCATGAACTATCAAAAATTAGGCTCTGCAAGACCACCAATTCGTCCGAAATGTTTTGATGCCCAGATTTTGTAATCACATGTTTAGAATGTGCTATCTTCGTTTTTAGGGAGGTCATTAACATTTGTGCCAAAGGGAGACATCATTCAACTAAAAGGTATCCCATAAAATATCAAGCTTGCCTTTTTTGTGTACCTTTTCTGCCAAGATCCTGTTTATTTTAATTCAAAATGTGGATTGAGCCGTTATTCGTTTTTCTTCATATCAAAATATGGATGGAGGGATGTTCATGTTGAGCCATTATCAATCACGATTTCATTTTTTTGTTAATTTGTATAGTTTATTGTTTACTTAATCAATTTTCTTGAATCGAACCAACCAATTTGTTTTTACCTAATATAATTTTTTCTTTTTCTAGATGATGAAAGATTGGATATGGATGCATATTTGAAAGATTTTTACTTGCATAAAGATTTGCAAAACTATGACAAAAACTCACCTTGAAATTTGAAGTATGTTGAGCAATAATTTTGCTTTAATAATAATTTCGTCGTTCCTTAAAGTACATCATAGACAATTTATCGATTTTACCTGAAAAATGTTTTAAAGTTTTTTCCTTTTGCTTGCTTTTTTTAACCATTTATTCTAAGCCTAAGCGCTCTTGGTATAGCTATCATTCTAGAAAATGTGATTTATCTTTGGTTTTAGCCCTTATAGCAGCGAAAGTCCAGCTGAATTGTTTACAATAATAAGGAAAACCAAAAAGTTGTTTAACACTGCTGAATTTTGTCTGAGGCATGTGTCGTTAATGTCATCTACGTCTGCGCATGCGTCGGACCTCATACTGATGACCTGAGAGCCTCGCACCAATAGGACTGCTAAATGCAGTAGCAGAAAGAAGAGTTGGGTCCGAAACCAGTGAACAAGTCACCTGGTTCAAGGTCTTTCTTGATGGCTTTTTTTCAGCAAGCAAGGACATTGATTATTTTATCTGTCAACAACACTATTTTACTTTATTGGTCAAAGCAGAACACATATGCAGTCTGACAGTTCAAAGCTGAGCTTTCAGTCTACTATTCATAATAAGCAGAGTTGCAATTATTTTTAACAAATCGTTGTGTTTTCACCCGCGATGAACGTTTTACGTTCTATGCGTTGTGAAAACCAAGGTCTCATCTTTCTTGAGTAGCCCTCTTGTGTTTTTTCTGCAATTTATCACTATGCATCAAAATTCATCGATGTAATAGCTTTAATTTCCTAACACCTGACGCATGAAGAAAGTCGTCATTTTCAAATCAACTCTGCGCATTTCTTTGATTTCTCATAGGCTTTTTCTTTTTCGAGCACTTGGTCTGTGCATGCAGACCCACATGTTCAACTCTTGCCCTTCAAAGACCAAGGTTATGCAACGAATGATACTCAAATCGACTGCTGGTGCCCCAATAAAAAAAGGAAAGAAAGACAGCTATTAGAAACAAGTGGTATTTCCGTGCAAAATAATTCTTTGGTACCCGAAACGACTTTTATTCGACAAAGATCCATTTTCGACTTTGTAGCTCACAACTGATGCCTTTGCCATTATTGCTAAAGGCTTGAGCCATCTGTCAACCCAAATTGACCAATCAATAAGCGTTGTTCGACTCACACGTTTATTGATTGGCCAATAGTTCGCTGAAAAATGCCTCAAGCAACTGTCAATCAACTTTAGTATCCGTTGACTGCCTTTTTAGCGACTTTTCTAATACGAGATTCACGTATTCTACTTCTCTTTCTCCCTTAAAAAGCTTGTGGAATAAAAAATTTGACATTCGTCACTGAGACTCTGAAAGATATTGACAAAACATCACGACAAGCCGCTATTTGCCATTTACGAACTGTTCTATGCTTTTGCTTTATAGTCACTGTCGTGAACGTATTTTTGGTATTTCATTATTAGTTGCCTTGGTGGCTTTCTTTTTCCAGGAATGTTATCTAGAATTTTGTCTTATTGTTGGCTCTTGGCTTTTGGTTAAACCTGTTTAGCTTGTGTTTGCAGAGTCCATGCTTTGACTGATGAATGTTGTTGGAAAGAAGAATTAGCTACTAACCAAAGGCATTCTTTTGTCAAGCAAAACCTTGAGGCACCATAACTGCCAGCATAAAATCAGTGTCTGTGTAAGGCTGATGCGCAACCGGCATGCTTAGCGGCAGCTGTCTTGAGAAAATGAGTGTATTTTGTACTTTCATGCGGTACGGTATTACGCCGAAATTCGGAATTAAAGTCGCAAAGCATGCCGGTTGCGCAGGAGCGTTTGATAATTCGTTTGGTGGTCCATTTATACAATTTGGCAGCCAATTGGAGAAATGTTAAATAAAGTATACTTTTCATGATAGGCCTGTTTCTCGATAGTATGGGTTACACGAGAGCAAGTAGTTATTCCTTTTCTAGCATGGCCCTTGGCTTTCATTACAAAATGATATGCTAAGCAGACTCGACGGTCGATGGACGTTAGTGTACCAGTGAGTAGACAACCCAGTGTCGTAAAATGTAGTAAATATATCTCACTCAAGAAAATCGAAGAAGAAATGTAGTCTTTGCATCTATGCGATAAAAGATTACAAGACAATTTGGAAAGATGTTGAAAAAAATTAGCCTTGATTTCAAGGAACCTTGTCTTTTTAAAAAATATTAATATAAAGCAAAATATATTAGCTGTTAGAGACTCTAAACTCTGACAATCAGTCTACGGGTTAATGCTATCAAGTTTCTTTAAAATTACGGTTGTATCAAAGATTTCCTTTGAATTGTCAATGTTCACATCACATTTCCTTTACCAAGAAGTTAAAATGATCCAGCTGTCTATTCTATTTTATGCACACTAGAACCTGACCAATGTCCTCAAGTATTTCTTGCTCTTGCCCTGGCCATCAGTGCTTTGACTGCATGATCTTTGCGCTGCTCTGCATCCTCCAGTTCTGCTTGGATCTTGTAGTATTTTGTTTTGAATAGGTCTGCTTCCGCACGCTGTCAATGTAAATGAAAATTTCAGCACTTTTCCGTGGTATTTTCTAGGTTGTTCTTATCCGTACTTATTCCTCTTAAAATACTGACTATAACTGCACAGGGCCCGCTGTGGTCATGCCCCCCCCCCACCTTTTTGCGAAGCAAGTAGTTTTAGAGCTACAGTAAAAGGGGTAAGAAGCCTTGGCCCCCTACTTTCTTTGCCTTGGCTCCCCCCCTTTCAAATTCCTGGTGCCAGCCCTGCTGCAATACTATAAATAACAGCAAAGATAGCAATCTTCTATGGCTAACTTACGTTGCTATATTCTATAACGTTTTTTGTCCGTGAAAGACCCTGGAAAACGTGTTCTTCATTCCTTTGCTGTTGAGCCGATATTTTGGAAAATTTGCACAATAAACTGAGGAGATACAGTTTTTCCTTTGATTTTGTAGTTTGAATGACTTCTCTTTTAGTCTTTTACAACTTACACAAGTAAAATGTAAATTTAGAAAAAATAGCTCAACTATATACTTGTGGAGTCTGATGTTCTAGGCTATATGACCAAAACCTCTCATGTGCGAGGATTGCTGACTGGTTGGGGACGCGGACTACAGATCCAAAGGTCGGTGGTCCGAGCCCCTGACGTGACAAAACTTTCACAAAGAGTGCGGAGAATCGCTAGCTCTCTGTAGTTTCAAGTGTAGAAAACACGAGGTATGGTTCCATCAAGTGAAAATCCCAGGAAACCTTTCGATAAGCACAGGTTCTCGGTGTCCTAAAACCCACCTTCGAAAGCTAGGTGCTAACAAAATAGAATTTCGATCGACTCAAAAAGGCATTCTGGTACTTACTGCCTCCTCATACTGCTGTCTGAGCTTACGAGAATCAGCAAGATGTCTGTCAATTTGATCCTGGTATGATTTGCCCTGTCGAATGCTTTCCTGCAGTTCCACATCTGTGTCCCTTGCCTTTTTCTCAAACCGCTTCATTCCTTTCTGGGCCTCAACGCACCTTCTCGTCTCGACATCTCGCCCTGCCTCTGCATCTCGTACCTAAAATTTTAGAACAGTTTTCGCATTTTGTAAATTACTGAGTGGAATATAATGACACGCTTTGCTAATAATGGAATACCAAACATAAACACACTTCCTTGTACAATTGACAGCCAACTATGTTTTATTTAGAAAAAAGACCTCAGACGGTGAAGACTCGACAAGCTGCTTATGGAGATGGACTTGTTACTCCTGTTTAAGCTTGATGTTACTCACGCCCAGTTTTCTGAGGCAATTGCTACAGATGGCAGTTTCAAACAGTTGTTGACACTCCGCTACAACCAGCATTAACTAGTTTTCGCCGTACAAGGTTCATGAACAGGGCCGCCGAGAGGGGGACAAGGGGGGCTAATTGCCCATGGCCACGAGGTCTAAGGAGCCTCATAAAGCAATGAACTACATTTTAAGAATGTAATGAATCAAACGTAACAAAAGTATGCTCAAAAATAATAAAATATTTTCAGCGACTGCAGGAAATGACTGCAAAAAGTATTCTGAAGTGCAATTCAAGCTAATCAAAAGGGCGTGGTCGAGAAACCTTTCTGCACACACCACTTGCAAGGGGCTTCGTTTTTCGGTTTTGCTCCAGGACTTCCAAAACATCTCGACGGCCCTGTTTGTGAAATCAAAAATTTGATACCTTTTGCTCCAATTTCCTGATTTCACTCTTCAACAGCTTTGTCCCTATTTCTTCCAATTCCATCATGCGCTCTTCAAGGTCGCTGCACCTTTGTTCTGCGTCCTTCTTTCCTTCTTCCATGATCACAGACACTTTGATTGCTCTTTCAAGCTCACCATTGAGGCGTGTGATCTAAAATTGAGTTTAGATTTGCAATGATCTTGGTATTCAAATTTGAAGTTTCGAAAACGCTGTCATTTTTTTGTAGTTTTCATTTCATACTTTTCAAAGGGAATGCTAGAAATAGCTAGAAGGCTACTTTTACAACCTAGATTTTACTTCATAAAGAAAATATATTTCTTCATCAATATTAATAGCTCAAGGCAACATAAATTCTCAGTTTATTCTTTTTCCAATTGAAAAAGGCCATAATTCATCGTTCATCCTTTTTAACTTTTTTTTATACCAGCCCTTTGAAAAGAAGCGCTAATTTTTCTCAACTCCGAGCTTTTCAAAAAACGATTCTTTGTTAAGTTTACCTCGTTGTTCAATCTTGCAGCCTTGTCCATGCTAGACTTTATTTCGTCATTCAGCTCTCTTACTTCATCTTTGAAGAAAAAAACCTGGTCTTCAAGCTCTTTCTTCTGTTCTTCTTGTGCTCTTAATTGATTCGTTATGTCCTTAAGTTGCTCTGACAGTTCCTGTTTGTTCTTTTCAAGCATTTTCACCGTTCTATCTGACTGTTTTGTGGAAGAAATACAATTTTTTCTTAGTTACTATGTCATTATACAGTGCAAACAATGACACGAACAACAATCATAGAAGTTCAATCTATTAAAATTCATTTGAAGTCTGGATGGGAAAGTTCTTCGAAACGGGCTTGCTATAATTTGTACTTAATGATGATTCAAATATCCCTGATAACTCCCTAACAACCCCCCCCCCCTATCCTCCCTCACTTTTCATATCCAGTGACTGAAGAAGACAATTTCAATGCTGAACCTTTTACACAATTTTCAATGAACAGGAATCTATATGTAGATTGTCGACTTTTAAAACACCCAATACCAACTGTGAAGGTTTCTGCCAATAGAGTTCTAAAGTGTGACGTCACCAAAAAACTATTTTTAGAATTTTCGAATTTTAACCACATAACATAAAAGATCTTCATGAAATACTTCCACATATGCAAAATTAGTCAAATATGTCTAAAATCCGTTGAGATATTGCCAATGAAAGATTTGAAATTTGCTAACGAATCACTGTTATTTTCGCTTTGTTCATAAAGTTATGAACAGAGACCAAAAGATGGGGACAGAGCCAATACACGTGTGACCATATCTCAGCCAATTCGTAACACATTTGACTGATTTTGCATATTTGGAGGTATTTTACGATGTTCTTTCAAACTATAGGATCGAGATTCAAAAATTCTAAAAATAGATTTTTGTGACGTCATCACTTTGAACTCTATTGTGAAAGTACTAAATAAACTGGCTGGTTGAGGCAATTGTTATGATGATTTGTGAACAACTTTACCGTTTCCAGTCGTCCGGTGACAATGTCAAACTCAGTGCTTATCTTATCAGCTCGGTCCTGTGCATCGAGGGCAACTTTTTTCGTTTCCTCATAGTTTTTCTTCGCTTCAGCTGCTGCGACTTCTGTTTCCTAGAATATTGTGTACTTCAGTTATTGAAAACTGCTTATGTAAAGCAAAAGCAGAAATTTGTCTTTTGGACTCAAAATTTAAGCAGAAAAAGGTCGGCATATCCGAGGCTAAAATTAGCAGAAGTGATTTTTGTGGATTTTGAGAATGACTTGGATACGAGCAAAGATTTTTACGAAAGATAAGTCTGTGCAAATATGCTGAAATAAGAACAAGTTGCGCAAACATTATCTGCTGTCATAAATTTTTGTCGAAAATTCATTTAATCAGTTTCTTATTCGGAGTTTCCTTTTTATGGAATCCCAAAAAGTTAACTAGCATAAAAGAAACTTTGTGCATAAACTAAATTAAAGATGTAGAATTTAAGTCAGAGTTTAGAAACCCTAAAACCGCTGTTAACTACAGAAATTTTGCAACAATCCTAAGCAATCCTTCAGCAAGTTGAAGATCAAAGTGAAAATGGCTTTGATGAATAATAGGCAAATAATAGGCACGAACCTTCAGGCTTTGCTGGAGTTGTTTGATCGTCTTCGTTTGGTCAGAAATTGCCTAAAATGCAGTATAACCTTTTCTCAGAATTTTTCACCATTACCTTTAAAATCAGACTGATATATCATCATTACCATTAACATCCCCAATACTATATCGTTAAACTTTTGGTTAACTAATATCATGGTCTTCAAATATTTACCATTTTTGCTTCGTCAAGTTGGCTTTCATACTCGAGTGTCTGCTCCTCCGCAAGTTTCCTCATCTTGATGTTGTCTTGCTTCGCTCTTATTTCTTTGTCCACTTGGTCTGTCAGCTCTTTAATCTGGAACTCCAAGTTCTTCCTAAAGAGAACATGTTTCCATTAAATAAAGTCTTAAAGACTCATTGCTAAAAATGAGCCTTTGCGAGGGTGGCAAATTATCCAGGCGACAATCCAAACAATGGCAGTAAACTTCTACTGATTAACCATAATTGATTTCAGACTGTCTGCAAATGCATTACGGGATGCTTGCGTAGCGCAATGGCTCATTGTTAGCAATTAGTCTTTAAGTAATCAATCCTTCCTGAAGGAGCTAATTTATGCGGTTTGTTTACGTATAAATTGAGATGCTTTTTAAAATCTATAGGCAGAGTGGCAAGGGATACTGGAGTGAAATTACAGCCTTCCCAACCTCCCATTTGCATTCAGGGACCCTTCATTCTTTACTTAAGTTATCTAATCATACAATATGGGCCTCCTCTCTTAATGAAGTTATTACGACCAGTTCACTTACTTCATTGACTCCATTGCATCTTTCACATTTGCAAGCTGCCTCTCAGCGTCCTGCTTTGAGTTAGCAAGGTCAGTAGCCAAGGATACGGTTTTCTTTCTTTCGTCATCAAGTTCGTTTTCTACGACCTACGAGACAAAAACAGGGCTCCGATATTTTTTATAAACACTTTTTATGGGCAATACAGTGTTAGCTTCCCTTCATTGTTACGTTTAATACAATTTTGAAATACATCTTGAAATCGCATTGGTTCATAACTTATCATCCCATTGTCTCAAAAATCGAAAAGAAGAAATTATGATATAAATGTTTTGGAGTAGTAGTTGTAGGAATTTTGAACAGACTAGGAATTTCAAAGGTAGGATAGATGTCTTCATTTGTTTCTATCTTGAAGAGCAGAATCTGAACTTATTTTAATATTGGTGTGCTGAGAAATCTTGTTTACTCTAAACAGTTTTAGAATAGGCTTAGAATTCAGATGAGTGTTAATTGTATCAAACAATGATTTACTTTATTGTTGGTTGTTTTCTTAAAGTATGATCCAAATATTTATTTTTCAGACGTACACGAAAATTGCATGTATTCGTGAAGGTCTAAATAAGGCCTAAATAATCTCATAAAGCAGTAGAACGTAATATTTGAGGAAAATTACCTCGATTGTGGCATTGAGATCATCCCTCTGGAGAACCAGTTGCTCAACCTTTGATTCTGTGATGCCAAGCTGCTTCTTCGTCTCACCAAGTTTTTCTGCTGTCTCGCCAAGCTTAGCTACGATTTATCACAATATTCATGTTACAAATGGAAATTCATTTATTTACTGGAAATATTGGGCAAAAATATAGACTTGATGCAAGTCCGCAGGTAATATCGTATACAAAATTTTGATTCTTGTCAACTATTTCGTATGTCGAAGCTATGTTGTGTGAAATATATTCAAACTTCTTTAATAGATGTAGTATTCTAAGCCCTAAACCCAGGTACACTATTTCGTGTATAGAGCAGGATGGTTCTAGCTTGGTACCCCGAGTTTCACGCTTAATGCGATCATCGGGCAATTGTTCCTATCTAAGCCCAGGTAGATGGTTACTCAATGATATTCTGGTATAGGAATGTTTACGTTTATGTATGGTTTTTTATTTAAAATTTCCTAAGATGAGTAGCCCCTATCTTTAGACACCACACATATACCTGTCGGGTCCCCAACTCCTTAAAAGGCAATAACGGTTACATTTGCATCGATTTCACATTCCTTGATAAAAAGTAGTTACATTTTTGTGCAGCATGTTTGGGTACATCATTTTAGTCCAGTGTTCCCCTCTCCATCCTTCCCCTTTATTGCTGGTATTTATCAACAGGGTCACAACTCACCTTCCAATGTCCTGTTTAAAGGCCTGATGTTGTCAAGTTCTCTGGAAAGCACAATGATTTCGTCTTCAAGTTTTGGGATCTGCATGCAATATCATTTCGGTTAAAAGAGGTAAGAACATTCATTTCTCATTTATTCATTGAGAACAGTCTTGGAAAGATTTTCCATTTCTTATTTTTTTCTTATGTATTTTACATTCAAGCATCTGTCCTGTTTTACACATCATAGGTGCCAGCATTTGATTTTCCCGGGCTTTCTCAAAGTTTGTAGTTCTAATAATGTTATTGTCATGTCACTAACAAATGAATGGTGAATTTCAATTTAAGAATAACCGTATCAAAAAGATTATTTTTATTAAGATTCTAAGCTACTAAACCCTAATGTTTTTTGTGTATTTTTATGTTTCCCAAGAAGCTTTTCTGCTTCATGGGTGAGTAGCCAGCGGTCAGTAGCTAGCGTTGTGTAGCTATTTCAGGGGGGCTCAACTCTCCAAGCCTCAAGGTGATGGTTGCCAAATAAAGCGCGCACTGCTCTGTTTATTTGATATTAAGCGATGTCCATTGGAACGGATAGCAGCAGTCTTCAATATTTTTTTGCATTATTATAGACAAGAAATCCTGATAAAATGAATAGATTCCATTTTTATCATTTTTATAATGAATTGAATACGAGAATCAGAATATAGCATCAACTCTTTAATTCCTTAACAATAGCTTTTAATCTGAATGATTTGTTGCTTTAGAAACTCTTAATGTGACTTTCCCATTATAAGTAACATTGCTTCCCATACATACTTTCCCCAGGGTGTAGAGCTCTCACTCAATCTTCTTTCTTAATGCTTTATGAAAATGGCTCAGTATATTGGTCACATTTTTTCCCTGATGTCTCTTGCGCGCATTCTTGTTCTCTTCTACGCATTCGCCGTCCTTCCATTAGTTTCCTGTTTTCTTACTTCAATTCATGTTATCCTAGATTTACCTCTACCATGCTAACTCGTGGCACAAATTTGTTTCTTCTACGCTACAGGCTGATATTATAGCTTCTTAAAAATGTTTCCAGTGCATAGAAAATAACACTTTACCTGCAGGGAGATCTTGTTAGCATAGGTTTTGGAGACGTCCAAGTCGGCTGCAAGTTTCTCAGATTTTGCTTTGAACTCAGTTGCTTGGTGTTCAGCTTTCTTCAGCTTTTCCTTGTAATTTGCTGCCAGCTCCTCTGTCTGTTGGAAAATGAAGCAGCCTACTTCAGTCTTCCCCAATGTCTAACACTTAAATGGCTTTTCATGGTTACCAATCACAGATGTTTTATCGAGAAATTTCTGTATAGTTTATTAATTTTGTTTTCCTTCTCAGGAGCTTTTTATTAAACTCTTTGCCTCTTAGGAGCTCTTAGGAGAAACTTTAAAGATCTGATCATAAGTAGGCATAGAAAATGTAGTTAACTGAATTTAAAGGGAATTCTAGAATTCTATGTAGGATTTTGCTACTTTAAATGTGACTTTTAGAACATTAGTTGGTTTTTACCTTAATGATATCAGCTGTCCAGTTGTACCTTAATGTATTTTTAAAATAGTTCATATTCTGGAAATATATTTGGCCTTGGCCTTAGATATGCATAGTTTCTAGACATTTATTAAAAGTTATCTCACCGATTGCAAGTTAGTTGTTAGGTCGCTATTTTGATGAATCAAATCATTTTTGGTCTTCTCTAGATTCGTCACTTTCTGCTCGGCATTGCGGAGGGATGTTTCCGCATCATTCAGCTTGCCCGATAAGGAGCGCCTTTGAAAGAAAAAACGAAATACAATAATTTCAATAAAAAAAAGTCTTCCACTGGTTTTGTATGCATTGCTGGGAGCTCAGAAGGAGAAAACTCACTAAGCTGCTAGTAAGTCCCTTAAATGTCCCTACGCATTTCGATTCCCATTGGTTGGACTAGACAATAGAGCTATTGCTACGTATCCAATCGCCAACGTAAGACTGATTCTCAGCGTTTTCTCAATTCTTAACACGCAGAAGAGCCTAATGTTTTCTTTGAACAGTTGACTGACGTCACATAGTACCTCAGGCACCGTAAAGCGTTAAAAAAGGGGGGGCTAACAAATGGGGGGGGGCTAAAACCGAATAAAAAGCTGAACTGGTGATTCATTGGTAAATTTTTTTGCATCTTTGGCAAAAGTGGGAGCTATAGCCCCCCAGCCCCCCTTCTCTGCGGTGCTTGTACCTTCAAGACCTCCTCTAGATGAATTTATCATGTGTTGAAGTCGGGGGCATGGGGGAGTAACCCCACAATCTCTCCTCATTTTTCAGTGCTTCAAGGACAACCAGGCTAATGACTTAATTCCTCTTAAATTTGTATGTGCCATTTAATGTTCATCATATGTATCGTTTCCCTTTTGTTTATACGCAATTTTCAATTAAGAGTTAAGCATGCTACGGTTATGCCATGTGTTGGCAGGATGGTACGCTCTGATGTCGATGTTGAAGATCTTTCCAAAAAAATTCACTGTCTACGAAAATATCATAACTGAGACCCTTTACGCCTCCAAGGAGACTGTTCTATTGATGGCATCCTAGGTACGGGCGTACGATATATTTTGATTGCAGAAACTAAATCTTTCACTAATATTTGATGAAAATACATACCTCAAATCTTCCATCTCGTCAACTTTGGCGCCCATGTCCATATCGTACCTTGCTTTCCATTCTTTACTCTCGTTAACTGCTTGAATAAATTTCGTTTGTACCTCATCCTTTGCTTCACTCTCCTTTGCGAGTCGATCTTCGGTGACACTCAGGTCCCTCAAAGCGTCCGTCAGCTCTTTGTAATATTCCTGCTTTGTCTGCGAGAAAATCAAAATTTTGTTGTTTATTTTGCTCGTCAGGTTAATTGCAGGCTTCCTTTTTGATCTTGTAACAAAATATGTTGGTATTTGGTGTTGGAAAAAAATTAATTGGTAGCAGGGTAGTGTAGGGCTTGGGAAGGAGTGGCTTCAATTTGCCATCATGAAAATACTGTAGCCCTTTCTAAACTCCACCTCAACATGGCTTTAGAATTTAAAAAATCAACTAGAACTTAAACTTATAAAAATTAATGTCAATCTCATTAGTAGATGTCGTTATTTTGATAGCTTTCCACTCTGATTCTTGACTTTTTTTGATGAATTTTTCCCCTCTGTTGTCTAAATCAAGGTGGTTTTATATGTCTCGAGTTCGTGTTTTTTAAAACCTAGTCTACACCACAAACTAGTTGCCTGATGATCGTTTGAAGCGTGCGTGAAACTTTAGATAGCAACTTTGAGCCGTCAATTTATGCACACCGATTCTACGCCTATACGGCATCCACCACTCCGGAACGGATTAGTTAATGGCAATGTTTATCTGTAAATATGTACGACAATACCAACCCTTATTTCTCCATCAAGATCGATCTTGACCTTCCTCAACTCATTTTCAAGCTGGCTTATCGAGCGCTCCATGGTTGGAATGCGTGCTGCATAAGCTTCAATCTCGCCTTCCAACTTTTTTATATCCTTTTCGTGAATTTTCTTGAAAGTTTCCAGTTCCCTCACTTTGTTCTCCGCCTCATTCAGCTAGTGTAAAGACAAACAGTTTTGAATATTCGTCTAAACATAAGAATATTTTCTGCTCCCTGGGACTTTTTGAAATCATTTGAACTGCTGTTTTCATTGGAAAATTTCATGCTGCCTCTATATGTCAAATTTCATGGCAAAAATTATTCAAAATAATCTAAAATTGATTTATGGTTTCTTGAAATATGTTGTCTGCTTCATTGCAAAAAAATCCACTGCAAGCAAACCTCTGCAAAGTATCAGGATAGAAACAATGAATAAAATATATTTTCTTAAACATTTTTCATATTAGTAAATACATTTTTTTAGATAAGTCCGTAAATCTTCGAATTAGCACCCTGGGGGCTAATTTATTTTTGATATTTTTGGATAGGGACTTTTTCGAGGGGGGCTTATACGAGGGGGGCTTATAAAATTATTGTAGACATGAAGAAGACATTATTAAAAGACCTCATTTATTTTAGTAGAAATTTCTTTATGGGCACTTAATTAATTACTACCAAAAGTATAAATTTGTTGTGGTAATTCAATAAAATGCCATAGGCAACCTCAGATGGCAAAAGTCATCAAATGGAGGGGTCCAATTCGAGAATTTACGGTAGCAATGGGGGCTTATTCGAGGGGGGCTTATTGACAATTTGTAGTTATAGGGTAGGAGCTTATTCGGGGGGGGGGCTTTTTCGAGGGCGGGTCAATTCGATGATTTATGGTATGTGTGTGAGAAATGTTCTTCTATTTTCATTCATACCTTCAACTTGTAGTCTATGACCTGTTCGCTCATTGTTTTGTGCTCTTTTTCAAGGCTTTCCTAGAAACGGAAACTGAGTCTAATGAATAAAGTAATAAATATATTGCTGAACAACTTGCTACAAAACCATCATTTTCAACCAATACTTTTTTTTAATACTTTTGCATATTTTGCAAATAATACTTAAGATCTAAAAGATTGCTTGATGTAATAATTTCTATATCTGTGTTTTTGTTCATTTAAAAATTAATTTGTTTATTTAGCATAAATTTCGACAAATTTTTCTTGCTGTGCCATTTCGATGTAGTAAAAATAATCTTAGGTAACGTTATATACTTTTTCGCTGACATAGACATTAAACTTTCGTCATATTAATGATAATTTTGTTAATTATTTACATGACGAGCAGCATTCAAAAACAATTTAAATCGTTTAAAGGTTTTTCATGGTAAAAAAAATAACTGTGCAAGCACTACTGATGTCCCATGAATCTAAACATCTGTACAACCATAGAATTAGGAGGGCAACCAGTGGAAGAACCTCACCTTGGTTCTTGACAGAATATTAACCTCTGCATTGAGCTCACTGCATTCGTCTGCCAATGATGTTTTTTCCTTGTCAATTCTAAATTTTAAAGATAATGTATCTGTTAAAGGTACTGATAAACTCCAAAAAGGGGGTTTTCAGATTCTCGCTCTTCGTCGGCCTAAAAGGTCCCATAAACACAAGTTTTTAATTTATAGACTTTTTAGACGTTTTGAATTTGCTAAACGCCCGTGAATAGTGAACTGGTGCCTATTTTTAAAGACTGCAGTAAATTGCCATGAATCAACTTTGTAATTTGTTAAACAACAATCTGATATTTTGATTTGTCACATCAGGGATCATTTATTGTAACATCTTTGCTAATTCTTTGCTATCGGAAGAAGTGAGGTCGATTGAACATTACCTTGCCTTTGACTTCTTCTGAGCCTCCACCTCTTCACTCAGTTGATAAATTTGTTGATTAAACTTAGTGCGCAACGATGTTAGTGATTCCTCGTGATCAGTTGCCATGTCTCGTACTGTCGTTTTGAGCCTGATGATTTCGTCGTCCTTCTTCTTGCTTGCCTGAAATTAGACAGCACTCGATTTATGATAAAAACAAAGGATGCAACGGGCAGAACTGCAACTACCTATCGTTGCAAGAACTTGATTTCAGCGTAGCGTGATCCAATTTCACGCCTCAGCTCCTAGGCCTGTAGGGATTATCTTAGATTTTCATGGTAAAGTCGGTGCATTTAGGTAATAAACAAAAGCAAGCGGGTAGAGAGAACCTGATGCGCTGGATGATATTTGTAACAACATCTAAGCTTTTTTCAATGAACTCTTTGTTATTGCAATTCTGCAATTCTGAAATTATCCCAGAAAATCTATCGATGCTTGCTATTTGCAGTCATCTTCACACTTCATTAATATTCGTAACCATATCCAATACAGTGTTATCTCAGCAGCCTTTAGTCTGTGACGTAATTCTGAAATAAACTGAAATGCAAATGACAGCAACTGCCTCCGAAATGACGTAATCAGTTTTATCTGTAAACAACCATCGATTCTTACTAAGTGAACGGCTATACCTGTGCTGCATTTGGACCGCCAGTTTCATCCAGCTGTTCCTGAAGAAGATCCATCTCTTGCTCGAGTTCCTCGCATCTTCTTTCAGCCTGGAATGAAAATTTTTATTTACGACTACAATTCCTTTCAAGGTTAAATCATACTACATGTTATGAAGGGTTTTGTGGTTGACAAAAACTCAAAACTAGAAACCTATCAAATGAGACTATAAGAGAGTATATTTCTTAATTTCCCCATTGATTTTTTTGGTCAGCTGAATCTTAATTTGTTGTATTATACAAAAAGCTGTTGTTTCATTTTCCATCTGGCAACGCGGATAATTCACAGCGATTTGTAAATTACACTCTTTTTTATAAGAACAATTTGATAAGAACACGAGCCTCGAAACTGGTCAAAAGTTTAGAAAACAAATTAAGAACAAGCTGAGGCTGAGCTTCTGCAAAATGCAATTTTGAACAACGTTTTTTCTCAAAATCGAGGTTTTTTAGCGATTTGTTGGTGCTTTTTCGGTGAATAAGAAAATTAAGGCTGTCTCACTCACTCTGTTGGCAAATGAGGCCTGAACACCTTCTTAGAGCGACAAAGCTAGCAATAGCACTGCTTACACCCTTTTAATTTCAGAACAAATTAAGAACAATCCAGCCTCAGATTTTCGAAAAAAATTAAGAACAGTCAGCCTGAACTTAAATTTACTGGTTCTTATAAAAATTAGAGAGTATTATACAAAAGCTGTTGTTTCATTTTCCATCTGGCAACGCGGATAATTCACAGCGATTTGTAAATCATCAATTTACTACACAGCCTACTGCTGACGTGAACATTCTGTGACTGACAGGTTATCCTGGATTCCTTAACTAACAATACTTAAAACATTTTATGACTTCATTCTTGGTCGTTTTCATTATTCATTGTTTTTACTACATTACCTCAAGTTTTCTCTTAAACGCTACTTTATATTGAATTAACATTTTACCTGGTTGTATGCAAACCTGTGGATTTGTGTTAGAATTCAAATACTTTGACAACATGTTTCTCGATAATAACAGAACGTCAATCAACAACATTTTTATTTATTCCATGACTAATTCAACAAAGATGTAGCATTCATTGCAATTTTTGTTCTGTTGCCATTTGGATCCACAGTAATTGTCACTTTCAATTTCTGATCTCCTAAAATTTAACGATCTTTATTGCGAGATATACTTAAGGCTAAATACAGAGGATTTATCCTCGATGGCTACTATCCTTCTATATTGCTACGTGATTGGCGGATTTCTTGGAGGATTCCAAAAAGGGGATCTCACTAACAGCCAATCAGGATTTGCCTGCTATGCTTTAAATGGCTATCATTGTCTAAAGAAGGCAAATCTGGGTTTTCAAAGTTATTATATTTTCATTACACTGTTTAAGTGTATACTGTGTTACTCTTTTGCGTTTTGTTTTCATAAAGACTGCAGATTTTCAAAAACTGAGAATCAACAACGCTGGGAGACAATTTGAAGCTCAGTTGTTTTGTAGATGTAACTTTCTGCACTTCCTTGGCTTTCGTTACCAGCACGGAGCATATGTTGTTTTTGAATTCGGCCTATCATATGGCAAGGTTATTGCCACGTTTTGCCCAGAGTTTTTCCTTTTTCATCCCGAAGACTGCTAATTTGGAGATGGAATATGAACAAAATATGATTTTTTGTATATGTAAGCTAGACTAACAGAACATTTAAAGTAAACTGGTTTTTAAAACTTTATCAGGTCTCCAACTACTTAGATATTTTAAGTCATTTTCTTCCCCATTGGATATTCGAACTGATACATTTTGATTAAAATTATCATGAATGAAAAATTGGAGATTAATTCCAATCAGTTGACATTCTCATTGCTCATTTTTCTAGGACTTGTTCTTCAGTGAACCACAGATGTCGGTGTTTATAGATAAAAAAGCCATCACATCAACTATGGTAATTTATTCATCCCTATAATTTATAATACAATCCACAAAGCGGATGCTCCATCTCATCTGAGGATCAGTTTGGTTTGAAAGAGTTTTCATAAGATTACAAAATGGGAGTTCCCTTATTTGGTGTCTATCTCCTATCAATTGATGGAAAGTTTTGTTATTTTGAAATAACTTTCAAAACGTGTGAAAACCTGTTACTCAAATAGCGATGTTTTCTTGTTACATCCTTGCCATTTCTCGGTAATTGATTTGCAGATGCCTGAGGATATTTGCTCTGATAATGAAATATATTCTGTAACATTCAATCTTGAGTTTTATTACAGCCCCTGCTGTTTTTAGAGAACATAATATCGCCTTTATAGCTTATGCTTTTAGATTTGAAATACCTAGAAAGCGTCATACCACTCCATAAAATTTGTTTCTTCGTAGTTTGATAAGAAAAGAACTACAATTGATAAAAATCGCATCGTCTTTCAAAATTTTTATCTTTCTTTCCCAGCTTGGATCTGTTTATTATTATTCTGTTATATTTTTGCAATAAAGATATGAACAATTGTCATGAAACATAGTACTAAGTTTATCTTATGCCTAAAACTTTTATCTTTTAAACCTCCCCTCTCTACCATCCATTTTTCTTTGTTTTGTTAATGCTAGTAAGATGCCAATGCCAAATAATGCGATTCACATTGCTGCAGATAAAAATACCACAGTTACGTCATAATCAGCCAATGATCGCGGTCATGTGGTCTTGGGGGGATGTGCAACTTAGATTGATTGATCATGAACGCCCTGAAATGCTTTTGCTATTGCGTGACAAAATTTGTTTACAAAATCAAACAAGTTTTATCCCTTATAAACCTACCGCGGTACGAGTGGCCTTTTCTTCTTCCAGCTCTGATTCAACATCATTTAATCTTGTCTATAAAAACAAATCTTTTGTTATTGTTTATTTACTTATAGTTTGGTAAGTAAATAAGAAAGATGTCCTAATGAATATCGTAATTGTTTTGTTGTCCTTAACTTGTCACTTTCAACTTCTGTCAAATAAAAATAATCCATAAACTTGTAAGTTTACATTTGCAAATACAAGTTTGATATGCATTAAATGCCTCTTTTATTTTGCAAATATAACTTTATTTTCTTGATTTTATTTTCTTGATTCCTTTCAATTTTTCTTATTGTAGAAATATGTCCCTCTGTCTGGAGCAGTTCTACGTATGTTTGGATTCATTAGTACAGAAGAGGTACTGGATCAAGTTACCCTTGGTAATTATACAAAATCATGAGACAGGCAAATAGAAATCCATGTTTTTCAATAAACGCGTAATCTAATTCATAAAAGCGAAGCAACAAAGCTTTTTTCAACAATCATACAAGAATTCAGTTATTCTTAGTGCGAAGAATTCTATATCATTTTTCTGACATTGTTAACCATCCCAAAAAATATCAGTCTTTAAACTCTAATTTCAATATCTTATCAGTCTACACAAATTCATGAAGAGGCACCCTTGAATGAAATTACTTTTCAAGGGTGACAAGAACATCAAACTGTAGTTACCTTGACCAATGAGAGCTGATAGTTGGACCCTTTATCGTCGTTATTCTTTCTAAAAGCCATTATTCCGTCAGCATGTGATACCTACAACTGGAGTCCTGGAAATAGACAAAGTTTAGACGGCGTTTCAGGGAGATGCTAGCTCAAAGAGTAGATGGTATTTTAATCTCACATTTAGTGTCAAAGAAAAGAGCTGCTTGAAGGTGTGGTTTTCTAGATAAGGCTATTCTCGCATTCTTAGTAATCAATCTTTCCGTTTTGTTTTCATTCCCAGATTCACGCCTTTGTTATTCCAGGCTTCAGAATAGCACCTTTAATAAACATCGATTTTATTATAAATACTTTGAATCTTTAAATATACGCCTTCCCTTGAATGAGATTCCCCCGAATAAGCACCCATAAAATAACTCAAAGGAAAAACGCATTAATCCGCCAAAACATTTGTTAATAAACTGAGCAGATGCCTAAAGATTCGGAAAAAAGATTCATTATCAATTTGTTCCTATATTTTTCTTTATTATATAATGAGACGAGACTGCGTCTCAGAGTCAATAAAAGGTTGCATTTTAAAGAGAATGAAGATTTAAAAATTGATGAGACCCAAACAGTTTGCCTCAAACAGACGTGGCACTGCTTATAAGATTAAAGTCTTGAACGCGGCATATCTGTACAACCATAGAATTAGGCGGGCAACCAGTGGAAGAACCTCACCTTGGTTCTTGACAGAATGTTAACCTCTGCATTGAGCTCACTGCATTCGTCTGCCAATGATGTTTTTTCCTTGTCAATTCTAAATTTTAAAGATAATGTATCTGTTAAAGTTACTGATAAACTCCAAAAAATTGAGTTTTCAGATTCTCGCTCTTCGTCAGCCTATAAGGTCTTATAAACACTCTTTCAAGTTTTTAATTTATAGGCTTTTTAGACGTTTTGAATTTTCTAAAAGCTCGTAAATAATAAACTGGTGTTTATTTTTAAAGACTGCAGTAAATTGCCATGAATCAAATTTGTAATTTGATTGTTAAACAACAAAATGATATTTTAATTTGTCACATCGGGGATCATTTATTGTAATATCAGTTTTACTGTTTTTTCTGTATTAAACGCCTAGCCTCAAATTAGCGCCCCTATAGATAACGCCTAATCTTGAAACATAGGAATATCGAAATAAACGCCACTTGCTATAAGGTATCTTGGTGCGATAAACGCCGCACACCTCAGATCGGTGCAATATTAGATAAACTACATGAATTTCAAGAAGAGCTGCCTACAAAACCTGTCATGTTTGTTCTTCTTATTTGTGGAGAAAATTTGAAACTGTATAATTGTTCAGTTCACATTGCCAAATACCACAGTTCTTCCCTTTAACTTTTTATCTTTAAACAATGCAGGATCGACAAGTGCAGTTTTGCATTTCTAGTTAATTTTCAATTAGAGGGGTTTCCGTAATCTGCCCTAAGAAAGCTGTGTATGAACCAAGATTATTCCATCGGAAAGGAGCAAATTGAGTTCTTCGAGCCTGATCTGGAGCAATAGCGTTTTGGTCGATTTCCAGAAGGCCTATGCATAGCCAAGTATTCTATAGCCTTAGGAGTGGTACAAATTATATCTATTAAGACATTGTTTATAGTACATTCCTTCGTCTTAAACCAAACCAATTTTCTTGAGAAACAGCTCAAGCTTATCAAACGCGTCTCTTTATTAAACGCCTCCTCTTCATAAATACCGCAACAAAATCTGCCAAAAATGAACCACACTTTTATCGATGGACTTACGGTAGGTGTGATCACCATCATAATCAGGTTTTAAATGATCATGCTAATCGCTACGATCATGATAAAGTTTGATGCTGAATTTTGTACCGATCGTGATTGTCATGATCGCCATGACCCGTTGCAAGCTAATGAATGCTAATGCATCTGAACTTAGCTTTTATCGTCAGCATGTTAAAGTACAGATTCTTATAAGTCAGGCTGGAAGACAATGTCTGGCAATCCTTACAAACAAGTTGCGTCTTTTGACTCCGTTTTCAATCCTATTTAATCTAAGATTATGACTTCTAATCTAGATATCCCACGACTCAATTAAACCTAACTTATCTGCCATCTAAAGAAACCCGCTCCTCTCTATATTACGTTCATCATTTTCGTACCCACTTTTAATGATTCCAACTTGCTTTTTACCAATACTTATTTTTGCTCCTTCCTCAAATTTCTTTTTAAAGTTGCTTTATTTTTGTGGAGGAAACAGTCAACAGTTGTATGTACAAAGTGCCTCTGGTCACACCTTTAAAACCAGCTCATCTGGATTAACACATTAGCATAATGTTACAGTTGTTGTCTATGGTTGTCTTCTTTGCTTCATGTCTTTGCATTTGCTCTAGCTCTGACTTTATGGATCTGCAGCAATGAATTCGTTGAATGTCCAAATGTTTTAGAACATGCCAATGGAAAAAATCGATGAAGAGTCGGAAGACTCTATCGGAACCCTTCAAGTGAGTACGCTTATCATGATGCTTAATTCATTTGTTTATCTGCAGCTTGTCCACGAAGGGGCTTTGACAGACAGTTGGCCATTTGCAGGCCAGAGCAGATTGAAGAAAGCCTTATGGATTGTAGACTATCTGCACGATTTCCTCTACATTAAGGGAATGTGACAAGCGTCAAAAACTTTTGTAGATCCAGGAAGCATAAATTGTTCTTTTAGCAAGTCTTTTAAGTCTAGATCAAGTCATTTGCTGTTTATGTTTTTAATGTTGTGCCCCTTCCTCCTCTAATCTTTGGGAACATTTTAGGAATAGCCCTGACCACTGCTTCGGGTATTGATTTAAATAGTACCGGATGCCCATAATTTGTGTTGCATGAATATTTCAGTTCCTGATTTAGTGACAGATACTGAGCATGATGTAGATATCAATCCTGAATTGATCGATCACTGTGGTCACAATGATTAACCATGATTCATTGGAATTCGCTATAATTCTCTCTACCCAAGGCATCATCACCCTTTTTCATTCCCCCAAATGTTAAAGGGTACCCGTCTTTCCTCTGCATTTGTTATCTATTTAATCTGAACTATCTAAATTTTGAATTGAAATTCGAGCAGGCCCGATTGAGGAAACTTGAAGATGACCTGGGCAAAGAAAAAAGACTTCGAGACAAGGTAACAGCTAATCGTAAAATCGGAACGTCAGAATTATCTTGAGGACTTAATGTCTACTTTCTGACTGCATGTCAGATTGCTGATTATGGCCTCTAATCACCAGCTGTTTGTGATACAAGGAAATTATAATTTATATTCTTTTGATATTTTACTGATGAAAGCATGAACAAAGCGATACCCCTTGGAAGACTAAAATGCATAACAACCCCAAATGCCTCCTTTACATTAAATCTGAAAAATTGCATGAAAATAATCAACACTAAGTTTACTTCCAACTGCAAATGCATGATGCAAACGTGGAAAGAGGTAGAGCAATATGAAAATTTACGTTTAAGATAATTCTCCGAAAAAACAAGAATCTCAGTTAGATGAAATTACTTCGAAATGATATGATATGTCAAATTTTGCATTTTGACTGACATCACAAAAATAATAGATTTTTTCCCTGATAGTAATTCTGATATTTCTGGTGATACCGGAGACTGTCATTAACAATAATCATTGTAGTTTTTATGCATATGGAAGGAATAATGCTTGCAGCCTTGTGCTCTATGTGACTCGAAAACGAGGCTTTAAAACCGAGTTGTTCTCGGCAACATAAATGAATTGAATTTCTCTTGGCAGATCGAGCGGTATTGCAATGAACACCATTGCGGTCACGATGCAGCCTCCCATCAGTCTGGAGACACTGTCACGTGGCAGGTCAGTTTTGATTTGTTACTGAGTTTTGTCTCGTACCATAAGGTTTCACAACGATACATCTAAAAAATTCAAAAATTTTTCCTCATCGACAACTAATTGGAAAATATGTCCAGCTTTTTAGAAAATACTTTGATTTTTCTATACAAATTTATAATTTCATCGTCTGTTTTTGTTTGGGTTTTGAATTTTTGTCGTAGAATAAATCCTATGATTTTGGCCTAGCCAAACAAACAAAAGCCTCGCAGTTTTTCAATCCATTATTTGACTTGTAGATGTTCAGGCAACGAGAGGCAGAGGTTTCTAAACTACGAACAAAGATTGAGCTTGCAATGAATTCACACGAAGAAGCAATGACCTTGGCAAAGCTTCAATTCACGCAAGAGCTGGACAGACTTCAAAATGAGCTCAGTGGCATCAAGGAGCCACATGCAAATTTAAAAGCGTGAGGATGAAATTTATTATTGAAAATTATACATAACGAATATAATTACTTCAAATGCCATATCCAGGAATTCTATAGGAAAATGTCATCAATTACATAGACAAACAACCCAGGGCAGAGGTTTTCTGAGACTTTCAGTCCCCTTCACCTTAGGCCACTTTGAATATCTTTTTATTGGAGATTCCTAGGTGCTGTTACTTCTTATTCAGGGTTAGTTCATATCGTCTAATGTTTCAATAAAATCGTCCGAGGTGGTAGTAGCTAGCTAACCCCACTAAACCGTACCTTTTTCATGTTTATTAAACGCATGAACAAAATTTCAGCTTGACATATTGCCTTAGTCAGTATGGGTTATCCTGTATAGGCCCTTTGTTTTCATGAATAGGCTCTATAGCTTTCTGATAGATATACGGCTTACCAATACTGGGTATAACTTGTTGCCAGTATTCCCATTGGGAGAGGGGTTAAAAGATGCATGGAATAGCTCTGGTTCTAGCATTTATTTTTCTTTTACAGTTTAGATTGTGCTAAACTGAATCTTGTTAAGTACACGTCTCAAACTGTCCTTGGCTCGCCCTTTCTGTAAGTTCAACCCATTAATTTCCTCTCATTCTTATCTTTCAATCTTTTCCCTAGAATAACAATCGGTCGTTTTTGTTTATTTTTGCTCCTTAGACTAAGGCCACAGTCAGTTAGGCTTTATATTTTCATAAGTCCTTTAAGCTGTGAAGATATAAGGAGAAATTACCTCATCCAAACATTCTGTAACCAATGTAAAAAGAATTCATTGGCTTAATCTTTGCTGTATTGCAGTTTTTCTTTTGTATGAATAGTTCTCTCCCAGCTCTTTGTTAACCAAAGTTGCAGAATACATTCTGAGGAAAGTTCAAACTTTTACAAACAACGCTCTAAGTGTATTTTATTGACATACTTTTGTTCAACTCTTTGTTAGAAGAGGAACTGATTTGCTTTCAAATCTTTATGTCATTTTATTCGGTCAGCAGAATATGTAATTATTTCTGCAAGCAGTGCTTTTCAATTTGGAAAATATAATTGTTAAGTGTATTTCGCTTGAACGCTATATTTTGTACCATTATTGGCATGGAATACTGCCAAAACTGAAAATACTTTTTCTGTTTCAGAAGGTAGCCAAAAATAAATTTAGTATAACAAAATTTACCACGAAAGCAAAGCAGAATTGTCTTAAGAAAACAGCATCAGTATTTCACTCTTCACTTGATCAAGTAAATTCTTGTTTTGCTAGGCCAAATGAAGAAGCTTCTGTGTCTACTATTGAAGCAAATTTTGCCAACAGAAAATTAGAAATCGAATTGGAAGAAACACAACAGGAAAAGGTAAATTATTTTCTCGCTTTTCGTGATCATTTGCAGCCCTTGTTTTTAATTTACACTGATCTTTGAACGTTAGCAGAAAGATATGTTGCATCACACAATTAATCTCTACAGCACGACAGCTGCTCCAATGTCATTCATAACCTTTTTACGGTAATATTTTTCATCATACCTACATCATACCTAATTACTTTTACATCATACATTGTTTACATCATACTTTATTATCAATTAACGATCAAATAATATTTTATAAATTTTAAAAAACGATAGTTGCAAGGTTTTAAGCATTTTTCGGCATTCTTTAATATGTTCACGTTTTTTGCAACTTTGACCTTTTTATCACCTCTCACCTTATACGGTCACCTTTGACCTTTCCTCTACTTTGGCTTTGTTATTGTTCTATCTAGATCAAAACAAAATGCTTTTATAAATGTTTGATTGTATTTTGATTAAACCTTCATTTTAAATTATTCATAACAGACTAGCTTGGAATTTGAAATTAAGAAGATCAGAGTACGATTGAGTGAAGAAACACGGGTAAGGAAAATATCCATTGTGAAAACTTGGTTCTTTGGTTTTGTTGTACGATCAAACTGTTTGTATTTGCTGACAATAAACTCGTATGTTAATACACTTATGATCATGTTTTAGTCTCGGCCATAAAGTTAGCTTTGCCATTATTGACAACCAGCCAGACGAAAAAGTATTTATGTAGTTGCATCACTGTATCGTGCAAACAAAAAGTTTTCTGTCATCGGAAAGTTGTTTTTGTAATTAAAACATGACATTTTTAGGCTAAGGAAATCTTTGAAGAGCAATTGAGAAAAGCAACCGATGAGCTTGATGTGATGCACAAAAAGCTAGACGAAGAAGAACAAGCAAGGATTGATTTGAAGAGAAGCCTGAAAGCAGCAGCAGCCGAACTTGATGAATGGAAGGCAAAACATGCTGAATCAAGGTCTGATTTATCAATCTTGATCAATTAGATTACTTTTTAACAAGACTTCCCAATAAAGCATTTTCACTGTAGTATGTTTTGATAGTTGATTTCATGAAGAAAACTTCATTATTTATTTAATGTTAATATTCTGAAGTTTTATCAATTTGTGAAAAGTAATAACCGACGAACAGGAATGGCTATTTTTGGTAATTTCAGCATCAAGTTGTTTCATTTTCAGTTGCTTTCCAAATGTGAAAAAATAACCGCTTGTCAACAAAAATGGCCGATCTTTTTGCTATTTCAGCATAACTTTATTTTCTTTTTCTTTTACTTTCAATATCAATTCACAAATATATGCTTGCACTTTCATTAACATGACCATTTTTTGCAAGCCTTTTTACTGAAACTATACACAAGTTGAGGTAATAATATCCTTGAAATTTTCCCTAGTTCCAGCTCTGAGAGGAAGCTAAGCATCAGAATGCAGGAAATTGACGAGGCGATTCAGAAGGCAGAATTTACGTCATTATCGATGGACAGGGTCAAAGTTCGTGAGGATAACATTGCGCAAGATGTTTCTGTCAGTTTTAATGCAACTCCTGACAAGGTATTTAAGTCTCCTTTAAGTGACCAATGATCTTCGCTTGAAATTTTTAAGTTTTTAAGTTTCAGTTTCACTTGAAGTTTTTCTTCAAAGGGTCAAGAAAAAATATGGTTTTTCCAAATTCTCAAAAAATGTCTACTGTGAAAATGTTTTCATTGAATTTTGTACACACTTTGACCGCAAATTTCATATTTTAAGTCATTTCTAGTCTTAACATCTCCTAGACAATTTGAATTCAATATGTAGTTTGTCAGCAATAATGGCATGAAAACCTGTAATATGTTGGATCGTTCAACAAGGAAATCCTCTCATCTGGCTTGCTAGATTTCTGCTAAGCATTAAGTGTAGTTTTTGAAAGGAATTTCACAAGACTCTTCATTTACAAGATGTTTAGAAACATGGAAGCATCGTGATGATTTATTATAACATGTATATTCATTTTATAGGATATATTCATTTTTTCAAAAAAATTCGCTATTTTTCCTAGTTTCATAACGTTTAAAAATACCCTGAAAGTTATCAGTGTATTTTTGGTAATATTTCTGATTTTATGTCTGTTAAATTCAAAGGGACGTAGAAGCAAGACATCAGATTTTGCCATCGAGCAGGAACTGCAAGAATTTAAGATCAAGTTTGCTGATTCGGAGCAGCAGCTGACTGCCTGGAAGAGAAAGTTTGAGGAACTTGGATATGTCAGAGATAGTTTAGAGGAAAAGGTTGAATTGAAAAATGATCAGGTATAATCTCGTTAATAGTCGCATAGATGTAAAGGGAGGCTGGAAACTATGGATATCTGTAAGGTTTTTTATAAATGTACATGAGATCTTTTGTAGGAATCCCAGGAATATTTTTCTCAAATTTTGACCCTTTGCTATTGACACTTAGCTACTTGGCAGTTTTAGGGTCCTTATTCATTTATTGCAATAAATCTCAGTTACAAAAACAGTTAATCGCTAGAAAATTTACAGTTTTAGTTTCAATGTCGGTGCCTGCTTGCACTTCATTCTTATTTATCGAATTTCAAGGCTGCTGAGATATTGTGTGTGATGATGATTAATGAGCTGTTCAATGCAAATATAATAAGATGGTTACTTTAGTCTTTCATGTTCATTACATATTGAGGTATGTATGGATATCAATTTAAAAGAATGCATAGCAAACAGAAGTGCAGAAACGTTTGTCTGCCGCATGCATGAAATTGCAAACTAACAGGCAGCAAGTCAATTTTTTTAATCTAATAGATTAAAAAGTGGGAAAAGACATGCGAAGAGCTGAATAACAAGTTGATTGAAATGGAGAAGGTCAGACAGCAAAAGATCGCCCTTGAAGGTAAGCTTTGATAATGTCAAAATACTGCCAAAATAAACCCAAAAAGGTCGGTGTATCATAACTAAAGATACGCTTTCTCCTCTTGTTCTTTCATTCTTTCTGTCTTTCTTTCTTTTATTCTTTCTGTCTTTCTTTCTTTCTTTCTTTTTTTCTTTCTGTCCTTCTTTCTTTCATTCATCCTTTCTTTCTTTCTTTCTTTCTTTCATTCATCCTTTCTTTCTTTCTTTCTTTCTTTCTTTCTTTCTTTCTTTCTTTCTTTCTTTCTTTCTTTCTTTCTTTCTTTCTTTCTTTCTTTCTTTCTTTCTTTCTTTCTTTCTTTCTTTCTTTCTCTCTTTCTTTCTTTCTTTCTTTCTTTCTTTCTTTCTTTCTTTCTTTCTTTCTTTCTTTCTTTCTTTCTTTCTTTCTTTCTTTCTTTCTTTCTTTCTTTCTTTCTTTCTTTCTTTCCTCCTCTCTTTTTTTATGAAGACGAGAATAAGACCAACCCAACCGTTCTTTTTCTGAAACAGAATTCTAAAAAGCCAGAATTTTTTCTTAGCAAATTGCTAGGCCAATTTTAGGACCCTCTAAATATGGAAAACGGTCCGCTTTACTTCAAACAAATGTCCTTATTTAACCTTTGTCAAGCTGTCATTTTACCCTTTTACAAAGTTCAGGATGTAAATTGCACGTTTTCTTTTTTAAAATATCAAATTGATGAGTCTCATCAGTGTATGCAAAACATTTTCTATCTTAAATCACAAAATACTGCTGAATGGTCACTAAATTATGACAAAGAAGGAAACATTGAAACTTTTATTGGTTTTCGTCAGCCAGGTGACAAATTAGTGCGTCCTTAGAACAAACTATAAGTAAAACCAATAGGTCTATCGACTCTAAGGGTACAGAATGGTAAAATTCTTTTTCAGGTGGCTAACTGCTAAAATCTAATTAAAATGAAGTGCCTTTATGTCCTCAACTTTACTTAAAATTTATTTTGATTATTAGCTACATATCACATACATACTTTATGATTATTTTCGAATATTGCGGACTTTTGATGAAAAAAGGTGAAAAGTATGATCGACTTGGTTGATAATGCTAACCTTCTATTCCAAACAAATAATCAAATGTTGACTACATATGGCATTCCTAGGGAACTGAATTTTAAAAAGGCTATTGACCTAAATTTCAATTTCAACGCATGTAACCTTAGGATTAGGAATAATCATTCCTCGAGCCCCACAACTCCAACTTATGCCTTGCAGAAAAAATCAGACAGATGACTCAGTTTGTTGAGAGAACAGAAGGCCTAATTGATGATCTTGAGAAAGCAGAAAATGAAAAAGCTGAACTTAGAGTAAGTGCAAACAGAAAGTAATTTGATGATCTTCTCTATTGATTGTTTAAATGATATTGAAGTGTTTGAGTTTCTTAGAATTGTCGCTTAAAAGGAAATTACACGTTCCTGCAGCAATAGCACAATTTGTTGTCACGGCTGAAACTTTGGTTCGAGTGCATATTCACAAATTGATATCTACAATGCTTGCCAAAGTTACTTGGAACATCTAAGCAGTTTCAGTTGGTTCTCTATCTATTTTCACTAAACGCTAATAGACATAGCTAAGTTTCCCCCTTTCTCCCAATCAATGTTGGAAATACACGTTCGCCATCTTATTTTCTAAAGTATAAACATTGCATTCTTGAATAGTATATTTTTATAAATAATTTTACAACAATGTTTGAAAGGAGATATAGGGAAACGGCCAATGTGAATGACGAAAAGGATGCTGGTGTTCTGAGACTTTTGGCAGGCATTGTAAAACAACGCTATAATTTGAAGGCCGCCAGCCAGCTTTCTTTTACTTTTCTCCTTTCCCTACGGTCTCTGTAGTATTTTTGTGACTAGTTTTTGACTAAACGAACTACATTTTGAGACAAATAGCATTTAGTTGCAGTTTTTAATGATAGAAATCGTTTCAGGGTGAAATCAAAGTACGCGATGACCAAATTTCTGCACTGGAAGACAGTCGAATGGATTTAAATGATGAAATTGCGAGATTGAATGGGCAGATCTCAGAATGCGAAGGAAAAATTGATCGATTAAATTCAGAGAACGAAAGATTGTCGATTACCCTGGAAGGAATCAGGTCTTCGTTTGATCTTCAAGGGCTAGTAAGTATCTGGACATAGTTTTTTTTGTCATCAAATGGTGTCTAGGCCGTTATGTTTCTTGGTAGAATACTACTCGTTAAAAGGAGGAAAAAACTTAAATGAAATAGCACGATTAACAAATTATAAAGAAAATAAATAGGGAAATAAGGAACATGAGTATTAAATAAACATGAAAATAAAAACATGAGAAAAGAAACATTAAATAAAGATTGATTTTCATTAATATTAAGCTATTAAACTAGTAAACTATTAAAAGCAGAGATAACCAGACATTTTATTTTGGCATCTCGTCGTCTTAGTTCAAATTGTAATTTCATTTGTAAACAGTAATTACGATTGATGACCTTTGCCAAAATATTGATGCAATATCTATCTTCTTGACACATCAAACAAATGTATATATTTTTTTATCTAAATGACATTATTGTGTCTAAATGATAAGAGCTTCTCTGTGGACTGGTAGGTATTTACAGCCTAATGCTCAACCAAAAATTCTTTATTTGTGTTTTGTTTTCTATCATTTTGAGAACCTTGACCATGAGAAACTTTTCCTTCTTCCAATTCCTAAACATATTAGTTTTGACAGTCGTTAAGACAAAAGCAATTATTTTAAAAACAATCGAATGTGCAAGTAGATAAAGATTCACAGGCAGGCATGAAAATGTTCTCGAAATGTCCTGTTTTACCCATAAATAGTTCTCAAAATGAGACATATTTCATCACACATATAGGCAACTTGGCTTTCTTTGTTAAAGTTAATGAAGAAGTTGAGAAACCATACACGAGCTATGTCAAAGATTTTAGAATGTTTCTTGCAAGTCCCACGAAATCCATGTTGACAGTCAAAGGATTGCTTCAATCGAACTCAACATAAGTGTAACTATTCGTATTCTAGGGGAAATCAGCTCTGGAACAAAAAGTTCACCAACTGAATGCTCGGCTCGTTGAAATTCAAGCAAAGTATGTCAATGAACAGCAGGAGAAGCAGGAGCTGCGGAGGATTTTCAGAGAATCGACAATGGGAGTTGTGCAGTTGAAAGCAAAGGTTGAATGCGAGAAAATCAGAAACATCAATGATTTTCATGAACTGAAGTAAATTTTAGTCTCCTTATTTTAAATTGCCCCCAAACCTAGACGAATTTTATTGCAAACTTGAAGTACCACGTGATGGTTTACTGATTTGTGATTAGTCAAACAAGAAGCCAATCAAATGAACCAATCTCCCTGTAATTTTTTCGACCCTCAGTCTGATATAAATCTCCTTTTAGCATTAGGCTATTTTTCTTTATTTCATACTCTAAGGAGTGTTTCTCATTTGGCAGATAAAAACTGCTTCTGGTTTGGCAGTAAAATAGTTTCATTTTTTGTTAAATCTTGAACAGTCATTGCTAAATAACTTGGTCCTATTCTTGTAACTAGGATACAATATATACAATATAATGCAATTTTTAGCCAGTCTTATTGCAACATGCCAATGCTTGTGTGTCATGCCCTTGAACAACGTGACTTGCATTTCTTTAATTTTTCTCAGTAAACTTTGAAAGTCCGTTAGGCTCCTTATTTACTATTCACGTTGTCTTTGCAAAACTTTCACAACTCAGACCCTGCATGTCTGATTTTGTATTTGTTTCCAGGATGGTGTTGATACAAAGATTGACTGATACGGAAAATGTCTTCACAGAGGCGCAACAAAGAGCAAGAAAAGAGCTCCCAGTATGCTCTCTCTGTTTCCATTGATTGTTTAGATAATATTTTTCTACACAAACTTGATTTTAAACAGAGCTGAAAAATTGCCACAATTATCTAAGACTATGATTATGATGCAATCTGATGCAATCAAAATATCAACAACAAGATATTTAATTTACAATCATTTATTTTTATCAACTCTGTTTAAAATCAAAGCCTTTAACAAGGAAATCACTATATCTATCGCTGGTTTTTTCTTTGCTAAATGTTTCTCCGTTTGACCCCACTCCCTCCCCCCCCCCAATTTTGTCCTTCTTTATTATCTTTCCTTGATATTATATTATCTTTTCGTATTTTCTTTTTACCATGCTGCTTAATTGTACCACTTTGTCCAATTTTGAAAAAATTTCAGTTCAAATTTATAACTTTTCTTGAAAAGCAGAACGCTTTTCGAAAATTATCCAGGGTCAGAAGCGTTAGTTAGTCTGCCAAGCAGCTGTATCGAACGTCATGAAAGAAAATCAAGAACTAAATGTGGGTCTTGATTTAGAGTTTATTCCGTCTGGATCCGAACAGCTCGAAAAGGAAGCGTGAAAAATTTATATTTTGAGCCCTATGCATGATTCGCTTATTAATAATTGCTCATATTCACCGATGACCTAGGTAATTCTGATATTTTATTCGTCCTTTGTTGTCGTATGGAGAAAAAGGTTTTTCACATCTCTTTGCTTTGCCGCTAGGGACCTGTGTTCCTGTGACTGTTTTGCAACATGGTAAAAGAAAATAGGCCCACTTGTCAGAGTTATTAGTTTATTAGAAGCGTTCCTATGGCCTAAACCATTGCTCTGTTAAATATAATTACGCTTTGATTTTTCAGTTAATTTTATTTAGTTTTCGCCTCCACATTAGTCTGATCTTCGCATCTTCGAAATCTGCAGGTTCATCAACAATCGCGCCGTGCCAGCGTTGGCCTCCTTCCCGCACCCCCGGCATTACCAGACAAAACGGAGTATGAAGTCTTGGAATGGAAGGAGAAATACGATGAGATTTGCAGGGAGATCGAGAGAGCAGAAGATGAAGTCAAAGACATGAATGCTCAGGTATGGCATTCACAAATCTGCTTCCATAGAGAGGTTCCCTCTTTCATTTCAGGGAATGTTGGGGGGAGGCATTTAAGAACATATCGATGCAGCCCTTTTTACTCTCAATGTCGTCTTGCCTTTTTAGCATCCTTTGGAACGTTATTTATTTTAAGATTTTAGTTCAAAACATTCTATAAAAGCATTTCCTAATACTTTACCCTTTTGAGATTGCTAAAAGTTCAGGCCAAACGTTTATGCTACCAAAGAAATTGAAACCTTCCACTCCTATTGTTTTTTTATTACTTCAATTGATTTGACTAGTTTTTTATGGAAAATATTTTTAGGATAAATAGGTTGACAGCTTGCGAAAAAAAGTTTAGTTTTCCATTTGGAATAGAAGCTTATTACTGTCAGCCCTTTTCGTCAAAATCTTAAGTGGAGCTTTTGCTCCGAAGGGCTTGAAATAATCGAAGTTTCTTGATAGTAATTAGATGCTGAGCATTAGTATCACATGTAACTTTTTATTTTAGGTTGCAAAAATGCAGGTTGAGCTGGAACAAACAAATGAGGATCTTGATGACGTCACAGATTCAAAGTCCAAAACAGAAGGTTCGTTAGATTTAAGAAAAGTCTACTTTTGCTTTTTCCAGTGGAAACTATTAAACAGCGTAAAAGTTTGGCTTGAGAAACCTTTATTTCTGGGGTCGCTAGAGTGTTGATTTATTCTCATTAAGTACGCAAAAGATTGTAAATTGCTATTTTTGATAAACTACCAGAGGAAGTTATTGACAAGACTTTATCCATGCTAAGTAATTTGTTCTTGCTTGGATTTTTTAAGTCCTAAAAGCAGTGCCTAATTTTGTCTGCATCACAAATACGGTTAAATGTCAAAGAAACCGGGCCTCATTGGAATTTAAGAACTTGAAAGTCCAATTTAATGCAATGTAATTATCTCTTCATCAACTGTGAAAGGGGCATGCGGTTTTTTGTTAGGGAATACTTTTGTCTGCAATGGTTTTCAGATTTAAAAAGTAGCACATTTCCGTCACAATAACGAGTACTAATTTTATCACTATCTGTCGCCATCTTTAATGTGTTTAATGCAGTTAAGAATTCCCCACATTGCACTCTGATGAGGCTCGTAATATATCAATCATTTGAACATTAACTTAAACTTTTTGAATTTCATGATATATCTGTTGTTTAGACCTAAGCAATTTATATTGCCTTTTTAAGTTCTGTAAATTATTTAGTCACTCTTTCTTCTTTCAGATGATTTCAGTGCAACGAAACAGGAACTGGATGATTTACGGGAAGAAATGGAAAATCTGAAAGGTTACAACGGAAAATTGAACGAGGAAATCTTGAAACTGAATGGTACCATAGGGGTAAGATAAGAAAATATTTATAAATCGTTTCTTGAACTTTTGAAGGCATCATTACACAATATATTTATCAGTAATGCTGATAAAAAAACTCTGATCCTCTCAGTTTTTTAAAAATCCTATTCTTGTCTGTCACGGTCGCTCTTTTTTCCATTTTAATTTATGCATATATATCTCCACAATTTATGCATTATTATGCATTCATTTCGTGTTCCTTAATGATTTTTCCGCGAGATATGAATTATAAACTCATGATTCGGAGATTCGCCCGTCTTTCCCTTGGGAAGATTTTATCAATGCAGACAAATTCTCTCCGGGATCCTTTATTGCTAATCCATTCCAGACCTCCTTTTACCAGCATTTCCCAATCAAATGGCGTCGATTTTCCTTTAGGAAATTTTCTGTACATTTCTAAAAGATATAAGAAAAGAACCATTTCCTACCAGGACATTCGTGCCATCCTAAAAATTTTAAAAAACTGTTTGTCTCCAATGGACAAGCCAAACTGCTCTAAAAATGGCTTTCTTACCAATAATTCAGTATTGCCTAAAAACAAGGTATTTCATATTTTCGATACAAAATCCTGTTTGTTCAAAATATGTGTCTATCTAATCGATGCATAGCGAAAATTACTGTCTACCGGTCTGTCGTTAAGTCTTCTAAGCAATTGCCTGATGCTCGCATTAGGCGTAAAATCCTCGAATGAGCCCCCTGGGAGCTTATTTATTTTTAATATCTTTGGATAGGGGGTTATTCGAGGGGGGCTTATACGGGGGGTTATAAGATAATAATAGAGATTAAGAAGATTTTAATAAACGACCTCATATATTTCAGTAGGAATTTCTATATAAAAATTTAATTAAATAATACCAAAAGTATGAATTTTTGTGGAAATTCAATAAAACGCAAAGGCAACCTCCGATGACAAAAATCAGCAAATCGAGGGGGCCAGTTCGAGGATTTACAACAGCAGTGGGGGCTCACTCTAGGTGGGGGGGGGGGCTAATTGACAATTTGTAGTTCTAGGGCGGGGGCTTATTCGAGGAGGGCTTTCTCGAGGGGGGGCGCGATTTGAAGATTTACGGTACTCAGATCTCAAACAAAACTTTTTAAAAATTCGAAGTTTTAGGACTGAAAAGTCACAGCAATAAAGCAATCAAGATAAAATCATACCTTTAACTAATCTTTAACTTGATAACTTTTCGAAAAACATAATCTTTCAGTCATCAGGCTTTTATATTCGTATTTCCAGGTCCTCTTCCACAGCTACGACATTTTCAAAACAATTAGTAATACATTTTTGTTGTTTCCTTCCATGTTCCATCGGCAGACCGGTTGCATTTATTTTCCACTTACTGACTTATATGGTGTGCAAAACATATGGTTTCAGACCTTAGGATTTGATAAGCAGTGGTTTTTCTGCTGGTTTTGTAACAAAATATGGCCTAGACAAGACTTGTACGCTTTATCGTGGCTATTTATTTCTTTTTGAATATCACAATTGATTAATTCCACTCTCTACAGGAAATGGAAAATGCCTTTGAAGATGATGCCAATTCGAAGATTGTGGAGCTGTCAGATCTTCGAAATGAAAACGAAGACTTGAAAAATGCTTTGAAAATTGTTTCTGAGGAGGCAGAAAAGATCAAGTGAGTCGAATTCACTGAAAATATAGCATCTTTATAAATTACACTGAGGATGAAATTGATGCCAAGACTGAGGTGGTGAAAAAGTTTTGTTTTTAGATTGATCTAGCCCTGAAACTATCTATTTTTCAGTAGCAACTATATTTTTCTATTTCTATCAAGGTCTTTGTAATTGCTAAGAGTCTTCAATCTAGAAGCCTCAGTCACAGTGATGCAAGTAATTTGGAAGTAATTAGGGGACACTTAATTGAGATCACAAAATATTCAAATTAAATTTTAGATAGATGTAGTATAAAAGTTTTGGCGCTCTCAGCATTAGTGAATTTTCATTGTTGCACGTTATTAATTTAGAAAAAAGCCCTTAAACATTTATAATTTGAAGAAAGTTTAGTTTTGAAACATTTTGAAAAATGTTTTAAGCAAAAGTCATTTTTTCAAATGCTTAAGATGAATAAGACTAAGGGAAGCCTCTTCTTACATCTTTGTCTTTGCAATCAAGGATTGGTTGGTGAAGATTTAGAAAAAAATTGTGAAAAGGCAAACATAACTGCTGCAATCTGACAGTTAAATTAGCAATATAAACCTGCACAATGAAGAAATTTTTGTCAAACAGGACAGCTTCCAGCTAAAATATAGCTTCAATACTTCCATTTTAAGATTGCCTTAACAGCTTTTAAAGCATCGGGTGTCATTTTGTCTGCAGGGAACAGAATTTTGCGAAAAGCTCACGAACAAAACAAGCTCAAGATGAGGTCGAATCTCTGACATCGGTAAGATTGCTTGTTTGATCAACGAATTAAATATGCAAGACTAAAAGACATGTTTCTTTACGAATAACTTAGTTTATGAGTCTTGATTTAAAATTTGATTTAAAAGATTTGCTTACATGAAGATGTATAAGGCTTTGCAAGATACCATATTAAGCTAACATGGAACGATTTTTGGAACGATTCGATCTGTTGACGGGTACAGCTAAAGGACATCGAAAAACTTGCGAAATAAGGCACCCAATTCAGAATAGAATTTGGAATCAATCCAGTTCTGGAACTAGAAATCTTTGGAGTTAGAAACCACAGATAGCGTCTTGAAACCACAAAACAATCATTTTTATCTTCGATGCAAACATGTGTGTCCTGAATGAAACAAATTGGTTATATTTCTGCTTCTTGTGCTATAAATTCAACCAAGTGTAGTCTGGTAGGGCCTTTGATTTTTTGTAGTGCCTTGGTTTTTCACGAATACAATGTCAAACGTTACGGAAAAAGGGCTTCTTTTGGTATGTGCAGATTCTCAGTTGAACATTCAATTTCTTGATACAAATATTTTAACCTCTTACAGGAAAATGAAGATCTTCTGAAGCAGAAGCGAGATCTTGAGTGGAAACTAAAGGTGAATCAATGTTTATTACTTATCTTTAGGCTTGCTATGGTTTTTTAATATTCTTTTCAATAGAGCACCTTTGTTCAAACTTTTCTTAACTAAGTTACGTCAAATTGATTGATTTCATATTTATAAAAAACAAAGGTGTTGAGAATTTTGGGAATACTTTTACGCCAAGGAGCAATTTCCTTTCAACAATTTTTTTAACGTGCTGTGGGTAGGGTAAAATGAGACTCCAGAAAGCAAGCTATATTTCTATCTTTGTATTGTTTTTAATGCAGATATACCTCTGCTTTTTCCTTAAAGGGTTGCAAATAGCTTAGAGAGAAATATGCTGAATTGAAGGTCGTTTTATGCGTTGGGTTTTCGATTCAAGGTCAAAGATGGGGCTCGTGGAGAATTCTTGAAAAGGGGTTTTTACTGATTTAATTGATATTTTTTCTGTTAAATATTATCTGTCTTTGATGAATTTCTTTTCGAAAAAATCTTATGTACTAAAGTTTAAAAAATTAATTTGCTTTGTATTTTTAAGAATTTGGGCATTGATCTCGAAGAGAAAACCAAAGCATTGGAAGAAGTGGATGCGGAGTTTGTTGCAGCTGAAAAGAGAATAAAAGAACTTCAAAGGGCTCTGGAGGATTCAAGAACGAGAGTAAGTATCTCTTGAGATTAACATCCTTTACATAACAAGTCACAGGAGGATACGAGTCGGTTTAAATCATTGGTTGGCTAAAAAATGTTACGTAGCTATACATGTTGATAATTGAACAACTTAAGCAAGAATCTAAATTCTTGCCATTAGATAGTGAAAAACATAGTCCTTGTGCTTTAGGCCTTCGTTTGCAAATTGATCTCGCGTCGACAGAAAAGTATGCAATACAAATCGAGGACATCATGAAGGAACAACGCTTCATTTCACCATCTACTTCTATCGATTCTGATTCGAAATCTTTAAGTTGTATGATCTCTTTCATTTAAAGCTTTTTATATTTACTATGTGCAAATATGATTGTTCTTGAAGTAAAAATACAGTTGTTAAAAGCTTCAGCTCTCTGAAAGCAAAGACTAATGATGACTAAGTTGATTTTTGCCACTGAAATGAACTTATCAGTCAACGGACAATGCAAATTTAAATTCATCGATGATACGTACGAGTGTCTTAACAATTTTATTCAAGTAGTTCATACATTCTATTTTGTCATTTGAAGGAAGGAGATCCAAAACGAATAAAGGAAACAGAACAGAAAATGAATGTAAGGTTCATTTACGCAAATGTTTTCTTATTGACGCTGGATTAATTCAATTTAGCTTATCAATGTGGTTAGAAAAACTAATGATAAACTTAAGAATATTCTGATTTTGCCGATTTTTCTAGTTTCTTTTCACTACAACGATTTTCCACTTTTCAAAAATCTTCAGTTTTCTCATAATGCCTCTCTTTTATCAATTACTATTCTAATTTTTCATTTTTTTATATTATGTTTTCAATTAAGTTTTTTAAAGATTTTTCAATCAAAAATCTGCCTCCAGTTGTTTGATGACTCTAATTTCTTATTTGATATTTCTTTTATACCTTCAATTGTTGCTATTTTCTAAAACTATGTTATTCTTTGATTAAATTTACCTTACATACAGGATTTAAAAACCAAGTTAAAGGAGGAGAAAGAGAGAGCAGAAGAAATGGAGGAGGAAGTTGGAAAGTTGAAAAAGAAGTTAAAAGATGTTAAGGCAGAATCTGAGGATGAAATTGCTGCCAAGACTGAGGTGGTGAAAAGTTTTGTGTTTAGATTGATCTAGCCCTGAAACAATCTCTTTTGTCAGTAGCAACTATATTCCTATTTATATTAATGGCTTTGTAATTGCTAAGAGCCTTCGATCTAGCAGCCTCAGTCACAGTGATACAAGTGTTTCGAAAGTAATTAGGAGACACCTAATTGACTCTTGAATTTTTTCCAAAGACATCCAGATAACGTTTCCTAGAGAGTTTGTTGAGTTTTGTTACTTTGCAATTGTCTTCTTGTATCAATTTAGAAAAAGAATAATTGATTCACACCTCTGCCTAATTTTGATATCTAACTGAGCAGATCAAATTTTTCCAAGTGTTTTTAATTCCATTACAATATTATTATTCATAAACTTTACCAATGACTTAATTGATACATTAATTAGAAGTATTTGCATGTTGTCCATAAAATCGATATACAACGTTTTTCTTTTAGGAAATAATGTCTTTGAAGCAAGAAGCCAAGGAGGCTGCAAAGACAGTGAAGGTAAGCAGAGAACTTATTCATGCTTTGAATAATCTTTCTCGCAGGGATATTTCAATGGACTTTTACGCTAGATTCAAGTCACCTTGGAATATAAATCATGTTCTATTAAGTCTGTTATATAAGTCTGTTATCATAAAGCTGCCAAAACGTGCGAAAAAGCTTTCTCTCACCATCAAGTGCTGCGTATAAATTATGACACAGAAATGCCATAGTTTTCATCGATATCATAGGATTCTAAGCTGGCTGTGAAAGATGCTGCCGCTGCAAAGGAGATTGCAGAAGAAGAGTTGAAGAGTCTAACAAAGAAGTTGAGGGATGCGACAATCAAGCTAGAAGAATTCAGTAGAGATGACAAGGTATTAATTTATAACATACAGCTATTTCTTTATAGTTTAACCCTTAATCGAGATTATACGCGTTGAACATTTTCCATCAGTGAAGCTTGAAAATTAGATTTTCATTCAGAAGACTATCTGAAAACTGCATTCATAAAATGCCCATAATTTCACAATTATCAGGGAATTTTCTTGAATTCGATTTGAGAGTTTCTTGAAGAAAGAATTCGTGGCGCATATCTATTTCATTGATAAAAGGTATGGTTTTAGCTCAGTGTCACCTCATCTGTTGATGGGTGTATAGATGGCAGTTATGACGTAATCTGCGTTTTTATATTAAGAACTGCACATCGATTTGTTTATTTTTTCGTTCCAGTATTCTGCTGATGCTTTGCAGTCACATCAGCTGCTGAATAAACAAATCAGGGTAAGGATGCAGTATTAAGTATTTGAAAAAGTTTTCACTGATTTAATACCCCCATAAAGGAGCTTTGGTATTCAATGGCCAGTAGCATCGTCATGTGTGCTTTATTTATCGCTATGACAACAAGCCAAAACATGATTTGCTAAAACTTCAATTATTTTTTAGTTAGTTGTAGTAACTACGGAACGGGGGTAAGAGGAGGTGGTAGAATTAGAATCTCTAGTCCCGAAATAATTTCAAAAAGGACATAAAGCTATAGATAGAAAGGCCTTTTCGACCATCGTTTACTTTGGAGTCTCGTTCTAGGACTTGCAGGCACAGCTTGATGAAGAGGTTAAAGAAAATCAGAGGGCAAACAAAGAGATAACGGAGCTTAGAAACAAGATGAAAGGAGTTAAGGTATCTTCAGAACTTTTTGCCATTAAGTTTTATAATATTTGTGATAATACAATTCCTTTTTTGTCTATAATTTCAAAAAAGCTTAATAAAACCACTGCTAACATTTTTAAATACCTGTAATGTTTTAAAGTTCGCACGAAGAGAAAAAGGTGAATTTAATACATTTTCAAATTGAACTAGCTTCTCGTATAAACTCGAATTACATGAATAGCTGCATATTTTGCCATTACAGTTATAATAACACCATTCATCATTTACTACTTTCACATTTGTGAATTCATCTAATTTTATAAGATTCATTGAAATCTGAATATCGATAAAATGCTTTTCAGCTTTCAGATTCTGAACTCGAAGTACAAATAAAGGTTGGTTTATTAATGAATCTCTGCCATCATTTCAACTTTATTCCGGATTTTGTGACATACAAGTCTATCTTATGCTCTCAGTAGCCTTTATTGTATGCAAGAAATCTCTACGAAAAAGACCTACTGTTTCAAGATTCGAACTGTTCTTTGTCTTGTTTCAAACGAGCAACTGGAAATTGCAGGGTTTAAGGAATTTTTACTTTAGGTATCTAAGAGGTTTATTTTGATTGTGAAGTTGGTCAATGATGTAAGGAAATAAAGATGTCTTGTTACAAAAATGGTTTAAGAGATATTGCTCCTTAAGTAAAAACTAAAGAATTTGTCAGGCCTACAGAATAGTTTTTAATACAAGTCGCTCAGCTAAAGAAAAAGAGCCTATATGATTTTAAAATATCTAAGTTCTTTTTTTGTTAGGATTTTGCTAGATATGTGCTCTTATTCTATGTTAAGTGAGCTGTGAAATTCATAGTGGCCCTAGCTGAATATAGAATATGCTATTAATGAGTAAAATTTGCACGAACAACTTGCTGAGTATCAAATTATTGAAACAGGAATTAAAATCCGACCTTGACAAGGAGCAGTCTGCTCATAAAGACACGAATGATGAACTGTTGAATGTTAGACGAATGTTGAAAGAAGCAAGGAAGAATTTAGATGAGGTACTTCTGATTTGATTTGATTTTGTTTTATTTACTTATCCTTTCTCTCTATATTGAAAGTTTTAGCCATAGACAACAATTAATAATTATTCGTGTTTCATTGAAGCCAAAAGATATTTTTTCTTAACAATTTTCAATCAAACAACTTCAATTTTTTCATTTTCCTGTTAAGAACTTTGGCAATTTCTAGTGTCTTTATTGTTCAAATCTGACGTTTTGAGTCTTTATTTTCCATTTCATTTATGAGCTATGTTATTTTTTCCAATACAAAGTCACCAATCTTTTATTTCCTTCCAGGAAAAATCGGGTGTTAACAAGAAGAAAGCGTTACGTCTCCAAGAAAGCGTAGATGTAAGAAATATTTTGTTATTATTATATAGCATCGTTATCAAACCTTTAAAATTTGCCAGATTCAAATGTTTCTGCCAACTCTTGAGCGAAAGCAAAAAAGACGGTCGCTTAATCAAGCGCACCCAAAATTTACTATTCTAGACCTTTTACTCAAAAAAGTCCAGCAACTGCTTTACATTGAAGTCTGTTTACAAATCATTCTGTAGAAAGTTTGCACTTTTTGAAGAAAGGTTTGAAAATTTGATGTAAATGAAGAAACAATAATTTCTTATACACTTTGACAGGAATTTAAATCAGCACTCGAAGAGGAGAAAGTAGATCACGCAAACACGAACAATTTGCTGTCAGAGATTCAGAGGGAGCTGAACGAGGCTAACAAGAAGATAAGCAGGCTGAGAAACGAAGTCGAGGTTCATATTTACAATTTGTTTTCTGTACCTCTGAGCACGTAGAGAATGCTATTCAAAAGTGGTATAGAAGGTTATAAAAGCACCCAGTTTTTATGGAGCATTAAGCAGTAATTATATATTCAAAACCGAACTCAGTCATCAGATATTATGTTTTAAAATCAATCAGGACATAGTATTTGGTTTCCATTTGGCTTTAAAAATATAGCTTCGAATCCATATTTTTAGGGCCTTTGTCGTTACAATATCGTTACAGCATCAGTGTGCTTTGCAACGCTCTTAACACCTTTTTGCTGTTTTAAACAGACATTAATAATTAGTTGATAGTTTCATCACATTTGTGGGTAAATTTGATACTGGCAGTCACACCCCAATTTTTTGGGAAATCTCGTCACTTGTTAATATTCATCTGAAAATAAAATATTCTTATCTTGCTTTAAGGATGGTGCTGATAACGAAAAGGATGTAAATGCACTGCAGCGCAGAATTAAGGTGTGTTTTGTTGATAACTTAAACATATTTGGCATTTATATACTCTATTTTTATTTGATTTTGTGCATGTTCATTTTCTACTTTTGCATTGCTTGCCACTTACTTTGAGCCTCAGTCTTGCTTTCATTTCTTCCTCTTTCCCTGAAAATTGTAAATTGAAAATTTTGTTTGATTTATGTGGAAAAGCAATTTTCCGAACATTATCAGTCACTTTTAAAGAATCTCGGCTTCAGATAGGTAGAAGGTGGTCAAAAGCATAAGAGATCCAAGACCATCTTCAGATCAACTATGTTATCCTTTATGCCATCAAAATATTTTGTAGAATTCACTTATTTCTTTTGTACGTTACTTTAAAGTCCCTTGAAAAATCACTTGCAAAGGAACAAGAAGACCACGAACAAACTGACCAAGAGCTGCAGGAAACTAGAAACGAGTTGAAATCGGCAAACTGGAAAATATCCGATCTCGAAGCTCAGTTAGAGGTATTGTGAAAATGTGAATCTCGTTGTTTATTCAATGGAAGATTAATACAAGCAAGCCAAAATTCGTACCCGTGCAGAACCCATTTTTACCACTTTCTGTCACTTAAGAGGCGCAAAACTTCTGTTAATGTACTGCAGTAGCAGTAACTATCATCAAACTCTTAAAGAGATGAAACCATATGGTGTCAAACGAAAAGGAACATGAATTTTGTTATCTAACATACAAGTCACTAGATTTCCGTGACACTGAATCGACGAGCTTGTTGCTGTCATTGTTTTTCCCTGAATCCGTTCAAGAGGATTGTTCAATCTTTGATTGACTTTTATTCAAAATGAAATAAAAAATTTCAGAGATTTTAATTTAAAGAAATGTTGAAAAACTTTTGTGGACTTTGCTATCGTGTTTCATTCCTTTCGGAACTAATGAATTTCTGAAATGACATCTCAGTCACAAAGGCACAGAATCCAAAATTAAGTCTGTTTCTACAAGGTATATTCTTCTTACGCACACTCCCCCCCCCCCCACCATACTCCCCTCTTCAAGTACATCATTGTTCACATGCAGAATTACTTCGCCTTTTGCAGGCTAGCGGACCCTCATTGAGAGATGGTGGCAACGAAACAAAGGAACTAAGAAGAAAAGTTAAAGTTAGTTGAATTTTTCATTATCATTTGACAACTTCATATTTCATGCATAGGTATTGATGAAAGAGCTTCATCAAAGACTCTGCCAAACTAAAAACACTCCTGGACTTGCGACCCTGTTTTCAATTAGAGACTGATCGGAAATTCGCATTGAGTGTGTTTCCATGTAGTGTAACCTCCTCTGAACAATGGTATTAAATATCCGCATGAATTATAGCTAGCTTCTGTCCGAGTTTACACGTGTTGTAAGATAGGCCTTCTTATGTGTATTATTATGGTGAAGATTACTTTATTTTGAAGTCCTATTTCGTCTCATTTCTGGCTTATTATAGACGTAGGTGAAGCTTTAATCAAGTGTTTGTTTGTATTATGTTTGCCTTATGAAAAAAATAATGTCAAAACTTTTCTGAATCTCTGTCTAGGAATTGCAAGACATGTTGAGCGAGGAAAGAGCAGAGCACGATCAAACGGAGAAAAAATTGCGTCGCGCGAAAAATGACCTAGATAATGCTCGACAGCAGCTAAACGATCATCGATCGGTCAGTAATTTATTCGACGTGATTGAAGTACTCATTAATTTATCTCAAAGTGACTTCAATACTTCCAGCATACCTTGTACGTTTGCAGATGGTGGCTATATCTTGAAAGAAGCCATTTCATTCAGCGATCTCAATCTTTAGTATATCGGCATTTAAGCACCCTCGATATCTTTAATTTTGAAGTGACAGCCTTAACGCAACTTCTAACGAACAACTTCTGATGCACTTTACGTTAGTTGTGTAGTTTGTGTATTTTGAAGTGTATTTTAATAGACTAGATATTGTGTATGCTTTAGATTTCAAACAGAAAAAGGATACTTTAAGTTTAGTTGTGTTACCATACCTTGAAAGGCATTATACGCTACAAATTGATGCTTTACATGTCTTTAGCCTATCCATCTTGAAAAACAGAATTATAGACATTTTTGAACTTGGGTATTTTAGAATGGACCAGTTCTAAACCAAGAGTTAGATAACAGTCTTGAAGAGAAATTAAAGGTAAGGTGCCTTGCTTTCACGTTTGTCACGAACTTGGAAAACGTTGTGCGATCTGTGTGATTTGTGCTTTTGCTATAGATGTCCGAAATAGGTTTTCGTCTCCTATTGTTATGAATATCATTCCTTTAGTTATTAAATAATATTTGTAACTTAATATTGATATTCTTGCAGCATCAGTGGTATAAACAATTATTTTTTCTCCTTCCCTTGAAAATCCCTCCTTTTTTTCTTCTTTAGGACTTTGCTATCGGTTCCTAGGCCTTTGCCTAACATCACAGACTAGAAAAATACTCCTTTTCATCTGATACCCTTTCGTCTAAAAATGTCAGAAATGTGATCGGAAACTCTACGCTAGGAAATATATATACCCAGTTGTGGATCGAAATAAGACAATCAGAAACGCGATCACCTGACTGTTGAGGTTGCCCAATCAGTGCTGCTTGCCTATTGAAAATGTTACCAATGGACTCCTTCCATCTACACAATCATTCTCGTAGCTTTCGATTGGTGTACTGCCTTTGGAATGTTTTTAGCACGATTTTGTTTCTATATTGTAATTTTTTTAACCTCTCGTTGTCATCTTATGGTGTATGAACTATATCAAAGATTTTTCCTTTTATCAGGAACTAGAAGAAGCTCTTGAGGAGGAGAGGAGTAATTTCCAAAGAGCTACAAAGAAATTGCAAAAAGCGGAGGAGCAATTAAAGGAGGCGCAGCGAGATATTTACCAACTGCAGGCAACGGTAAACTTTTTTTGGCTTTTGAAAAATGGTCAATTTCAGTCATATTTATGTGTATCCCTTAGTTTTCATAAAAGTAAAAATTTTATCTTATTTTTCAAATTTCAGTCACATTCACTTCATTTCCAGGATGATGCAAAAATGTCAAAGGATAAGAAAGAATTAACAGCGAGAATTGCGGTTTGTTGTTCAAATTTTGAATTAAGCGTATATGAATTTTGGAACTTTTATATCGCACTTCTAGATGCTCAAACTTTGCATGCTTTGCTTTAATGTTTGAAGCCCCCCTCCTCCGTCAATGGAGCCTGCTACGCGGGTACCCAATGGCCCCTTAAAGATCAGCAAGATTAACCTAAATACTAAGTACTTGATATGCTGCAGAACGTCAAAACAAAATGCCAAATCGCATAGATTCAAAATATGTTCCCTTTGTCAATCTTTTTGCTCGTCAATGATGTGTATTTTGCAAAGTGACTCGATGATAATGTTTCATTAACTTTCTGTGTTATGTTTATTCTCATTCCTGAAGGAGCTGGAACTGACAATCGAAGAGCGAGATGCCACCATAGATGAACTTGACAACGCTCTAAAGGAGGAGAAGAACAGGAACAAGAAAGCTAAAAGTGATCTAAGAGAGATGCAAGATGGAAAGGAAGATGTAAGTTATCTTGTTATTGCTCATCACTAACATCTTTCAACTCTTGTTTTAAAATTTTTATCTTATATTGCTTCCGATGGATGATGTTTGAAGATTGTAAATTTGATCGAATCAGGTATAAATTATTAAATGTTCAAGTGTATTTTGTATTAAATTTAAAATGCAAATTATTCCAATTTATGCCTCTATACATAAAAATTATCCCAATTTATGCTTCTGTTTATTATTGCTTCTGATTGTCCCAGCTTATGCCTCTAAACATAAAAATTATCCCAATTTATGCCTCTGCTTCTAATTGTCTAAATTTTGGCCGCTAAACATTCAAATTATCCCAATTTATGCCTCTATATTATATTGTCATTGATAATCCTACTTTACGCAACTGAACATACAAATCATCTCAACATTTTATTTTTTTACATCAACTTCTTCTTGAGATTGCCAAGTTAACTTCTTTTAAGCACAGAACTAGTTGTTACATTGTACCTAGAAAGCTTGAAAATGATATTCCCCTTAATTTCAAAATGATTTTCTCCAACAGATGCAGAAGTCTCTAAACAAGAAGATAGCTACATTAGATGCTGACATCCAGGTAAAGCGAGAAGTTATCTTCATTTGTTTAGCAAAATTTTCAAAAATGTGTAAATTTATATATCAGCGTAATCTTAAAATCTAGTTAGCATGCATGTATCTGTACGATGAGGTCATTTTATGATCAGAATACCCAAGAAAACGCATAGTTTCAACGAACCGTCATCACAATTTTAAATGGTTAAATTTTTCATTTTCAAGGAGCTTGAATCTTCGATTGAAGACCAGAATGACGCCAACAGTAAACTTCAGTCTGCTCTTGATCGCGCCGAGAGGCAACGTGACGCTGCAAAGGAAGAGCTCGAAGAATTCAAGAAACTTCAAGACCTGGTATTTTATATTTGATTTTAGTAGTAAGACATACAAGGCTCTTAACGAAACCTTTCTTTATGAATGTACTGCCTGTACAGCAATGTTTTGTCCGTTACTTTGTATTTGTAGTCAAGAACATAGAGCTTAAATTTCTTTACGTTATACACTCGACTCTGCCTAAAGTCACTACGCTTAACGCCACACTACTCGTTACAGTCACATAAAATTTAGACCAAAATATACAAAAATATCCGCTTTAGCTCTGCTTACAGTCACACTCCTTCTTCCGGTCGAAAATTTCAAATGAACACTTGGTGTGACTATTACCAAAATCTACTGTATCAATCGATATGCTCTTATTGTCCTGTGAAGTATGCCTTTTTTATCGTTTTCCTGTGAAGTATGTTTTTTAATCTCAGGATGAGGACAACGAAGTTCAAGGCATTGGAAGCCTAAGAAAGAAACTCGAGGTTTTTGTTAAACTCTTGTTTTCTTTTGATTCTTGGACCATTTTAGGTATTGAATTTGGAAAAATTATACAAAGCTTTACGGCATTTGATGCAAATATGATATAATTATTGTGTGATAGGGTTATTCGGCATTTGGAGGTTTATGTATCGGGTAAAGATGCAACAGGCTACAAGCAATTCAGTGTCTCTTTCTGCAAACTGTATTCGGTGATTGTACAAAGACCATTGAATAAACAGATTCTTTTTTCTAAATTGCTTTTTTGAACCAAACCTAAATCCTTTTTCTCACCTTCTCTTTATTTGTTACAGAATCTGCATACAGCTTTAGATGAAGAGATGGCTGCACATGAAGAAACACAAGCGGAGCTTGATAAGGTGGAACAGAAATTGAAAAGCGCACAGAAAAGAATAGATGAGCTCCATGGTGAAAGGAGAGAGGTACGTTACTGAAAGTATATTGAGTTGTTTGAAGACAAGGGATCTAGGACGAGCAAAGCATATACAGTCTGTTTGGTAGGCTAGTGGGAAATTATTCTCGGGTCCTAAATACAATTTGCATTGTGTATGTTGTGCATTCGATTGGCTGTTGATGTCATGTAATGGTTTTACTGGAGAAGCGGTGTATCCTTTCTTGCATTTTAAGAGTTTATGCTATGAGCGTGCTTTGCTTTTGCAGGGTGATGAAAAATTAGCCAAGACAACGATGAACGTAGATCTGAAAGTCAAGGTAAGATATCATTGCTATCTATTTGCTGTCTGGTAAGTCCAAAAATTTTCCATAAAAAAAGCAACTCTTTTTCAATTTCGTCAAAAAAATTTAATATAAATCTAAAGGGGTTAGGATAGTATCATTTCCAGCTTTTTAGCCATAGTCCTGAATAGCTGTCGGATATTATTTGACTTTTAAAAATGGCTTTAAAAAAAGCAAACATATTGAACCATACTGAAGCTTATCTCCTGACACTCTTCAGAGTATAAAACGTCAGAACATAGATCGAAAACTCTGGGTATGTAATTTTAGCGTAGAGTCTATGATCTGGAGAGTGTCAGACGGAAAGCTTTAGTATGTTTCTCAAAGCGATCAAATTCCACACCACGAAAAGATTTTTATTTTACTTTTGTTTGTGCATATTGTTGTTGCTAAAGTTGATCTTGGCTTTAGCAGTTCATTGATATTTGAACTAGGCTCAAAGTCTTCCAAAGTAGCCATTTAATTCTTGAACAAAAGTAACAAAAGACTAATTGCACTGCATGTCTGAATAGATTGGTTCGATTGGAGGCTAGCTTTAAGGGGTAGACCTATTTAACTCAAATCCAGTGAACCCCTTCAATTGCGTCCCTGATGTTGGACTTATAAACTGTAACCATTTTTAGCTAAATGTGTAGTTTTCTGTTCTAGAATCTTGAAGACGAGTTAGAGAATGAGAAAAATGCTCACGAAAAAACACTGGATCAACTCTCTGACTTCAGAAAGAAACACAAAGTTGTTTGCGTTGAGCTCGAGAACATTAAGTCGAATCTACCTCAGGTATAATTTGGTTAATTTATAAACTCTTTAAGGGTTTTTTTTAAACTGCAGGTAAGTGGATAAAGGGACGTATTCTTTAAGGGTACTTCCGTCATTGTGAATAAAAAAGATCTTTTTGAATAATTAAAAAAGTGTAACAAAATACTCTACGAATTGACAAAGTTGTTACAATAGCAGTTTGAACTTTATTGGGATTCCTTTGAGAGATTTTTCACGTATACGAAATGATCAGCTGCAAAATAAGAGAACGAATCTGGCTTGAAATCTTTTTTGTCTATGTTTAATGACCTTCTGTATAACAGTTACATGGTTAATTTTGATCTCTCTGTGATAAGTGCTAACCCAGCCCTTTATCCGCTCGTGTCGTTTTAAAACTCATCTTAAAACAATTGTCTTCATTTTGTTTTCTTTCTTCACTCTTTAAGACTTTTTTCATTATTTTCTCTGCAGGATATTGTTGATGGTATAACTACAGGATCGGCCAACGAAAAAATTGAGGTAAATTTTTGTGGGCCTAAAATTGTGTATTATTTTTAACAGAAACCATTGTTGGTCATCTTTGTAATTTTTACGACTTTTTTATGGAGAAACTTAATCAAAAGTATCATACACTTGGTATTTTGTGTTTGGAGAATTTATTGATTGGCGAAAAGGGTTATGGTTGAATTGTTTATTTGTCAGGTTAAACACATAGAACCTATTTTTAACCAAAATCGAATACTTCTTGCTATGACATAGAGGTTTAAAGTGATGACGTCACAAAAATATATTTTTAGAATATTTTAATTTGGATCCCATAACCTGAAAGAGCATCATGAAATTACGAAATGACAGAAATATGGCTACATGTTTATTGGTTCTCTCCCCATCAAACCTCTGTATTTTGGTCTCTGTTCATAACTTCATGAACAGAGCCAAAATAACAGTGATTCTTTAGCAAACTTCAAATCTTTCATTAACCATATCTCAACCGATTTTAGACATATTTGGCCAATTTTGCGTATTTGAAAGTATTTCATGGTGATCTTTTATGTTAAATGGTTAAAATTCATAAACCCTAAAAATAGGTTTTTGATGACGTCACACTTAAGAACTCTATTGCAGCATTTATGAGCTTCTTAAAGGCCAGGTTAGCATTAAACTTTGACAAAGGATCAAACAAACTTAAATTGCTTGCAACATGAATCGAATTAGCTGAAAAAATGGAAAAGCTCTTCAACAGTAATCAGCAAAGTTAGTCGGTTGTCTTCCAGTGAATAAACTTTTCACTTAGTGTCATGTGTTAATTTACCATTCATCATCTTGAAGAAAATGTTTCATTTCTTGTAAGCTTTGGTATTTGGAGAAAATTTCTTTATTCCCCATTATTGTTCCGTTTATTAGGAGCTGGAGAAAGCTTTGGAAAAGGAAAGAGAAGCTCACGAGGAGTCTTTAGCTGATTTGGAGTCTACGCAAAAGAAGCTGAAGACTGTAAGGGTTCAGTTGAATGCCTTGAAAGCTGAGAATGAAGGGGTAAGAGTCAGCAGATATGAGCCAAAGGAATTTATTTGCTTGGATGAATTCTCTTAAAAATGATATTACTCATGAATTCTAAATATATAGGGTTATAGGCAAAAATGATTGCTTCTGTTTTTCACGCTATGTTATAAAAATCTTTGAATTTGATGACAACTTTCTTTGCTTTTAAAGAGTGCTACAGGCGGCACTAAGTATACATCGGAGCTCAAAGTGCAACTCAAGGTTTGAATTATATCTACATACTGACTGTGCTGTCAAGTTTTTGCAATAAGCTTTTAAGAACTTCGCGTTCCTTTTCCAATGATTTTTTTTATGAACAACCAATTATAGTCTCTTGCGGGATTAGGGTAAAGTCATGTGCGATAGATCGTTGAAAAATTGTATATTGAAAACTTTTATGCAAGCAAAAAACTGTCCCTTTTTGTAGGATTTATAGAAAAACGAAAATTGAACATTAAAATACCTTGATAAAGCAAAAGAAAACAGTAAAAGCATGTCCTACTTAAGCATGACTTGAAATAAGCAGAAATTTTAATCCAGACGCAGATATAAAACAGCAAGCATGAGAGGAATCGTTTGATTGGTTCCTTGATTTTGATCAGTCCTGTGCTATTTTCAAATTTGCAGTACCAAAGGATAAAGGATGATAGTTGATTCAAAATATAATTGATAATTGACAATCCCAAGCTTTTTTTTGAACAAAATCAGCACTTCCTTATTTGCAATGTAGTGTGAAGTTATTTCACGGTTTTTTTTAGAATTTGCAGAACGCACTGGATGAAGAAGTGGCAGCCCATGAGGAAACGGAAAGGGATCTTGCAATCTTGAAAAAGGAATTTTATACCTACAAGACAGGCTCTCAAGACGCCGGGGGTAAATCTCGCCGATACAGCAGTGCTAGCGTCACAGTGAGTGACATTTTCATGACCTCAAATGTCATTCATCAGAATTTAATGATTCCTTATTGTACCTTAGTCAAGGATGTCTGTCCTCTATTGTACTCAACTTTATTTTCACGGGAGTGAAATTCACGCACCGTTGAGCTAGACTGATAGTTAAACGATTTAGGCCAATCAGAGGCAACTTTGATTCCAGAGCTTCTGTATCAAATGACTGTGTTCCCGTTGTAGTAAAGCTGTGGCTAGAAAAATTTGGTTCCCTGTTTTGTTTCTGCGACAGATAAGTTGACAGGGAAAAGAAATGCTTCCATTATCATCATACAATTCCAGTAATTTAATCTTCTTACCACTTCAAATGTCGTCCACTGCCGCAGCTAGGCCAGCCAAAGCGAGCAGCGTAATCAGTTAAGGCAGGATAAGCTATTGGACAGAATGCCTTTAACATCGTATTGTACCTTAGTATTATTGAAATTAAAGGCCATTTTTGAAAAATCTAATGCTATCATATTTCGAAAATATTCTGATTACAGTCCTTGTATTCCGTTTAATTTCTTACTAATAAATACATCTTTGACGTTACTTGGTTTCCTTACCTCTCAGGTAAACCCCTAATTTCCCTGCAAAATCAAATAGTTTGATAGCTGTTAATTCATTAACATTTTAAGCTTAGTTATATTTTACAATTTTCTTTATGAATTTTAAGTTATCAATGTATATTTTTTTCATATTGATAATTATTTGCAATAACCTGACAAAATATAAGCAAACCCTTTCTTTGTAGGGTGGTTTCTTTGGTCCAGTTTCCATTAATTTTTCTGCCCTTCATTATCTATCGTTCTTTTGCCTTTAATTTGTCTTCTCATTTACACCTACAGTTGAGCAAAGGATTAGCGAATCAAATTGATAAGCAGGTTTGCACAAGTTTGATAAATTCTAGCGATGCTGAGCCATTGTCAGTGATTTAGTGAAACTTTAAGTCCCCACCCTTAGCTATTTCATGTCATCATTGTAAGAGAAAATATTAGGTTTTAAACGTCTTTCAATTTCATGTAGCAGCTAACGACACCAAGGTCAGTTACCCTCACTTTTATCAAAATATGGTCTACCTGATTCGCTTTGATAAAGATAAAAATTTATTTGGATGAGAAGGAATCTCATTATTTACTGAAAGAAAATGAACCAACACGAAGCCTTTTAAGAATAGATTTTGCTATCTTTAAAAAAGGAAACAGTTTCATTTTTTAAAATGTAAGAGCTTTTGTAATGTTTGAATTTCCTCATTCAAAACGGTTTATTGCCCAGCTGTAGACAGGAACGAGAGTAATAATGAATTTATCATAAGTTTTAAGAAAAGATCCCAACGAAAATTAATGATATCTGTGTTCTCAGTGCCATGATAGTGATGCAAGAATTTGAAAGCAATTTCTGATCCAGGATTTAAAACATAAACAAAGTATTGTAGATAAAAACTACTTTCTTCACGATCCAAAATTCCAAAAGAGAAGTACAAAAGCTCCTTAACTCACATTGCTAAACAAGGCACAAGTTGTGGTGGTTTCTAGTTCCCAGCTCTGTTTGTGGTATCCTTTTTTGTTTTTGCTTTTATTAGTGTAAGCTTATACACATGGAAGGGCCAGTAAATTTCTGACTGAAAATTTTCAATATTCTCTTCGGCATCAGTAGAAATTTTTTTAATTTCATTCATTTTCTCATTTTAATCCCATTTAATCTTTCTAAAAATCTCACTGTTTCATGCTTTTCTTCCTACACATATTTCACACAAAATAAACATTATGCCGGAGTTTTAAACTATTCTAATCTTTTCGTAAACAGTCCACTTTGTATTTTTCATCAGATGGAAGACTTGGAAGAAAAGAACGAGGCTCTGATGAAGGAGAATGAGAAATTCAGGGTTGAGATACAAGTCGTGAGGGCAGAAAACAACACACTTGATCGTAAATGTCATATTTGATCTTTGTTACCTAATTATTACTTTCATGACACATTGGATTATGACAAAGGCGGTCGCCATTTTGAATGAATCTATGCTGTTAATGAAAAAAAAATGTATATTATTCCACACTTAAACCTTCCATTTATTCAGATTTAAATTAATTCAAGTATATTTTGATATAAAATAATGATAATAATTCACATTACCAGATAGATATCTTTCTTTATTTTCTGAACTTAATTTGAAGTTATCTAGTCCACATTTCATTTTTTTCAAGACTGATTGATATAAAAAACCTTACTGATCCATTTCAGAGGCTTTTAACGAGATCGAAGTGAAATATAAAGGTGGGTTGGTCACCATACAGGATTTGGAAGAAACAAAGAATGATCTTGAGGAAGAGAATGCTGAATTGAAAGGAGTTGTTCAGGTATGGTTGAATCTGAATCTGAATCTGAATCTGAACCTTAATCTAAATCTAAATCTAAATCTAAACCTAAATCTGAATTTGAGTCTGAATCTAAATCTAATTTTGAGTCTGAATCTGAATCTTAAGAACCGTGTCACCATAAATATAATAGGCATGGTTAGTTAAACGTTGTTCACGCCAATCAAAGGAACCACAGTTTTGCTTACTTTAGGCTACTGGCTACAGCTTACTTCATAATTCTAATTTCTGTGACTACCAGGTTGTTCCACAACAGGTTTCCTGCTTTTATTCGTTTGTGTAACAGAGACACGTCAGAGCAATTTGAGGATATATCTACGAAGTCTTCACCAGGATAATATATTTCTGCCAAAACGTTTATACGTATCAATCGAGGCACAAGTTGCAAACTTTAACTTTTCTCTTCTGACAATGCCTGCTCCTATTAGTATGATAGGAAAATGCACATTCGAAGTTTTATATTCTCACGTATTGATATTTATATATATTTTTAGGACTTAGAAAGCGACTTGGCAGAACTCCGAAGTGGACAGATGCCAAGTCAAGAGAAAGTGAGAAGAAGAAGTGCCATCCCTGCTGATGGTCCAGAAAGGGTACGAGACTGTCCCAAATACATGTCCCAAATTTTATCGATTCATTATCCGTCGTCACTACTACAAACATTTTGGTAATCATTTTCTATTTATTGCAGAAAGAACTCATTGCAGAGAATAAAAGATTGAAGCAACGAGTAACAGTAAGTTTGACGTCTTCTGCCTTAAAAATTTCTCTTCTTCTTTCATTGCCGATTAAATGTAAGGAACAGAGCCGCTGTATATAATCACTGATATAATATATATAATCTAAATATATATAATCACTGATAGAAATATCGTGCATCAATAAGTAAAATAAAGTGAAATCATTGAGCTATTTTGCAATTTTACATGTTAAATTTTTCCAGGACTTAGAGGATGAGCTCGAAGAAATCAAAAGAAAATCGAGAAAGCCAAAGATTGATGAAGATGAAGCTGCAGCTTTGGTAAAATGACAGTTTAAATGCTGATCCCTTTTTTGCTTCGCACTTTATTTACAATTGCTTCTTATGTTTACTTGTCTCTCTTTCTATTAGCAATAGTATGTTCTATGTTTATTCTTTTTTAAATCTTTCTTATTTACCTTTTGAACATTGCCAATCTTCAAAGTTTAAAATTTAAATTTGAGGCTTTTGAAACTTTGTTTGTAGATAGTCAAGCTCCAAATTTTCACGATTGCTTATTTGATTCACGAACCATGATATCTTAACACTGATTGCAAATTAATTTAAGATCAAAGAAATGGAAGCTCAACTGAACGAGGCTCTGACTCAACTTGAGGCAGTGGAAGAAGTTCTAGATAACGAAGAGGCTTTCAGAAGCGAGTTGAAAAATACTTTGAAAGATACGACCAAGGAGATTGACGGCATGAAGAATGAATACGAAAAGGCATCCGGGGAAACGGAACAGTCTTCCAAGCTTATCAAATTACAGTGAGTAGTTATGTTGCTGAGTTGAGCAAGTGATACTTGTAGTCGTTGGTAGCACTGGGTAAGAACCTAAGAACTGGGAGGTGCCAGAGCCAAGAGTTACTTTTCAAGGGGCAGAAATGAAAATATTTGAATATTTGAATTGGAACTGAGAGATTTAATCTTCAAACAAACTGTTATGTGTTTTTAATTTTAAACATCTATATATGATCCAGCCAGTTTTAAATATACTTATGTGATGAAATCTTTATTTTATTTGTTTACAAATTGTGCGATTTTGAGGATTGATTGGGCATTGTATATCGAATGTTGTTCCAACATCAAACAAAGTGAAAAGAGGCCTGTTCATTTTTTACTGTAGAGATGCGCTGTTCAGTGAGCCATTCATAAAGATCACGACTCGAAATTCTTCCCTACTCTTCGTGTTCTTTTTTTTATTTTTACTTTTAATAACCTATATCCTTGCAGGAGGCGCTTTGGTACTCGCATGTCAGACTTAGAGGATGCCATTGGTGAATCGCAGATACACATTAAATCTGTTGATAAATACAAAACAAAGGTTTCAGAGCTTGCGAAAGAATTAAGGGCCTTCTTAGACCAGGTGAATAGGTTTCTATGTTTTTTTCTAGCTCCCTCTTTCCAAGATCAATTTTCTAAGAATGATCGTCATAAATATGGCAGCCATTAATAATTGCCGAACGGCAACCACGTCAGCGTTCCATTTTGCTCGCGGATATTACCAAGCTTAGAATATTTTCTGCTTATGAAAATTTGTGATTTACGTATGTCATTTGGACTTATAGTTTCAAAAATATCAATTATAGGTTGGAGATGGTCAAGGCATGTCAGCCTACAAATGGAAGGCCAAATACGAGGCAATGCTGCTACAGTTCCAACGATCGGAGAAAGAACTGGCTGCTACAAGAGAAGAGGTGAACTCAAGATTCATATTCTGTATCTACATTTTAATTCTTTATTTATATTTAAGTTCTAATTACAGTTAATTCTTTATTTGTATCTGCCATGCTCTATATCTTGAGCAAGCATAATTACATCTTGTTCAGATTGCAAAATCAGTTAAAGGTTTGATTATAGGAATATAGAAATCAATATTAACACAGTTCATTAGCTAAGTGTACTAAAAAAGTTCGTGTTCTAACAGAGTGTCTCGTTTACAGTTGACCTCGTTGACACGTGAGCACGAGACCACAACGGTGGAGATTCAACAGTACAGAAGAGACAACAGGCAGTTACGGGGTGCGTCGAGCTCAATGCACTTTTATTCCTTAAGAAAATCTTTTAGAAATCAATTTTTTCCTATAATATGATAGTACTAGTACCCTTGGAGTATATAAATTTGAAACCGCTTTATGATTCAGGGCAACGCTTACACTACAATTTGAAGTAAGCATAATATCCTACACCATTCATACTTTGGTATTTGGTCCAGAAGGCAACAAAGCAACAATTGCCTTTGCTGTTTCTGGTTCTCTTTCAGTAGCGTAGCTATTGGTCGATATGGTTAAGATTTTACCCCCTGCCAGTCTTAATTTTACTCCTTCTTACAATGCACCCATTGTGTCTGCTTAAAATGGGAAACAAATAATTCATTAGTAGGAGGTCAATTTGTTTCATATCTTAAACAGGTGTAACACTGAAGTATTCCAAAAAGGCCGTCTCTGTAATATGAAATGTCATGGTCGCAATAATGTTCCCTGGGCTACCTTCTTAGACCCCGACCCTCCTATTTGTGTTGATGGCTTGCGCTACAATTTGTGCAAAATGTGAAATAATAGCGCAATTGGCATTCAATAATTCACAAACTTTCAATCTTTACTCGCTAGTGATGCTAACACAATGTTACTAAGTTATTGATTGAAAATGACTGTTTCTCCATAGACCGAATTGACGAACTGCTAGAGGAGATCGAAAGGCTGAAGAAAATTATCGCGGAGCTAGAAGCAGATAAAAGAAAACTCGAAAGAGAAGTTGAAGAGCAGAAAATTGCTATCGAGGTAAAAATATTTATTAATCGTTCTGCTATCCCTTAAGGTAGACTGCAGATGCTTGATCGTCGTTTCAGTGCCATCCAAGAACAGAAGGACCGTACTTTTTGATAGTACTGCTCATCTTATCCGTCTCTTTTTGCAGAATCACTGTTGCTTCTGGCTGTAAAAGGAACTGCAGCCTTTTCACGAATAAATTTTAAAAAATGAGCTGTCTTGAATCATACTGTATAAATGACCTGTCTTGAATTGAATTGTAGTCTTTTCAGCCATTTTGGGATATTTCAATATAAGTTTTAAGATAATCATCATTTGATGTGTAGCAATAAGCTTTTGCTGAGAAGAGTTGTTAAGCTGAAACTGTTATTTGCTGAAAGAATGAAAATGCTAAGTAAATGTTTAAATTACTGAATGAATGAATGAATGAATGAATGAATGAATGAATGAATGAATGAATGAATGAATGAATGAATGAATGAATGAATGAATGAATGAATTAATGAATGAATGAATGAATGAATGAATGAATGAATGAATGAATGAATGAATGAGTTTCTAAATTGTTGCTGCTGATTTACGTTCCAGTTGGTTGTCAAGATTATAACTTCATATATTTATCTTTGTAGGAGTTGCGAAAAACCCTCGACTCTGAAAGACTTATTGCAGAGACAAAGATTGCTGAACTAACAGAATTGCGAAACTCTCTGCAAAAAGAATTAGCAGAAAAAGATGATCACATCGAACGAATCACGTGAGCTGAGCTTTGTTCCTGTAACGCAAAATTCTAAAGATGCATTTAAGTTAACTTGGCTTCCTATCATCCACAGTAGGGTGTTAATTCTGAAGCAGCTTAATTACACGAAGGCTAAATTTTTCTTGCTACTCTTACTTAAGTCTAATAGCAATCTTCAAAAACTTCGAATGTGCAAGAATCAATAAACTGATGCATTCAAAATTCTAACGATGCATTCAAGTTAACAAAACTGAATTTCGAACATTTTTTTACTTAAGGCCTATGTAAAGACTATCTTGAATTTTTGCCAGTTTTTTAAATTTGATAGTTCCTTTCTTGGAATTTATAGTTTTTCTTCAATTGACAATTTGTCTTGCAAAAGCAACCATTGTTACCAGTACAGTGCTCTGTTTTATGCAGAAAGTCTTACGAAAGGCAGATACGAGATTTGAAAGAAGACTTAGAGCTTGAGAGACAGGCGCTGGCTGATTATGCTAAGCACAAAGCTAGAATGACAGACCTTCTCGCTCAGTTACAAGCTCAAATTGAAGTTCTCAGCGCGGTATGGCCTAATTTTCAGCTATTTAACTTCTCATTTTTTTCATGATTTTCACGTTATTCTTACTATTAACTTCAAGGCATTAGCCCAATCCTTGAACTGGCATCGTCGAAGTCCTTTCACTTAGTCCTTTTTGGGTTTCAGCCTTCCAAGAAAAGAAACTTTGCTTTCAAGAGGGAAAAGTGTCCCTTTTATTTCCGATCACAGTCGTAAGAGTAAAATACTACATTGCAAAGTACTAGCCTAGCACAAACTACGTAGCCTAGTTTGTACTTGCTGAATTGTGATAGAAGTTGCTGTCTAATTTATGTCAACGGCCCAAAATGATTAAGGATCTTCTCTCAGTACTTTATTTCATAGAAGCTCGTATATAAGAACCTACGTTTTCCAGCTTATCCTAGAAAAGTTCTTAGTAAATAAGTGTCTTAAATCAATCTAGTGTTTAGATTTTAATAAATTTGGTGCTTTCCAATTGCACTCTAATGTTTTCTTTTACGCCATCATTCTGAAACCTCAGCCTTAAATACTGACTTTTCTGAATTTTGTGTTGATTTTGCTGCTGTTCAGGCATCTAAACTGAAAAAAGAAGTTAATGTTATTTTCAGCTATTCAAATATGAACCTTTTTTCATTAGGGCAAACATTGTGCTTATTAAAGTGGTACTTCTCTGTTTAGCCTTCACGTTCTTGTAAATGTAGGAGGCTCTTAGAATGGGTTTTTACTCTACCTGCAATGTTTTCCCTCCAAAAGCAAGTACTAAAGCATGTTTTGGCAATGTTTTAGCATTGCTGAGTAGTATCCATCAAATAGCCAGCTTAAATTTTTTTGGATATAGTAGAGTTTGTTTTTTAAATGCTTTGGCTTTTTTCAGTCCAACTCTGAATTCTCGAAGAACAACAGAAAGCTACAAATTAGATTGAAGGTAAATAGTTTTTTCCCCTCTTTTATGAATCGCCAAATTTGATGATTGCGTCAGATAACAGAAGTTTATCTGCTCTCATATATATTATGATCCAACAGAAAAAAGTATTTTTCATATATCTGGAACCGATGAAATACGAAGGATATATACTTTATCTATAATGAATCATAAACTGTAAATATTCTTCTTCATCAACTTCGACAGGATGCAGTTGCTGCATGTGAAGATGAAAGAGTCTGCCACGAACATACACGCCAAGCTCTTGCACGTGCCGAGAAGAGGTACCGCGAATGCTTCAAGCAAATCGATCTGCTTCGGGAGGGTTTAGAGAGAGTAAGTTCTATCCTAAAGTCATGGGAGCTTCTTCTATTTTGCTACTGGTCAGCATTAATCAATACCCAACTCTATTAATGCATTTGTAAATAATCTGTAGTTATTATCACTGTCATCAATAGAAGAAGCTCCAAAACAGAGTCTTGCATCGCCATAAATTTCAACGTGTAAATCTATTGTATTCGTGTCGGAGCTAGTTTCATCTAGTGAGATTTGGAATCTTGTTTGGTTTTTCAAAACAACAAAGACTGACAGTTTGTCAAAACGCTCAGTTTTTAGATTTCGGGTGGCCGAAAAAGTGTTTTGTTTATTTACTCTTGCAGTCTAGCATGCGTCTCTTTTGCTTTCAAAACCTGTGCATATATCACGAGTAATCGAACACGGCTGGTTTTTATATTGATTAGAAAAACGATCAATTGTTAATAAGCCTCTTTGAGTCGGACGACATCCATTTACTCTTAAGTATTTTGGTTGTTTTATGAAATATGCAATTTTAAATAATCGATTTAAAAATTAGTAGAATTGCTTCCTATCTTTCTTTTATCAAGTCGCTACATCACACTCCTTCGATTTGTAACTTTTTCTCAATTTACTTTTAAAAAACCACATTGTCGCCTTAATAAGAATTTTAAATAATGTTCACCATGAAAATTATTAGCATCTGATACCGATACCATATATATCTTCAAATTCTCAGAGCTACTTTTATAGCAAATGATCAATTAAACGCTTCTAACTAAGCTGAGTTTTGCAAGACCCAACAAGCTTTCAATCGCAATTTTATTAAACTACGCCATCGGTGTGCTTGCTTTAGGCTGAAAGAATGAAGAAGAATTTTGCGGGAGAAGCCGAAGATAGTCACTTCAAGCTCAACAACATCGAGCTTAGAACAGCTGATTTGGAGTCGTTGAGACTCAGAAATGTGATCGAAATTGATAACATGAAGGCTGATATTGAAGAAATGGAAATCAAAGTTCGAATTTCCGATGAAAGAGCGAGAAATGCCGTTGCTGAGGTACAATGATCATTCGATTTTGAAACTCATTTTATGGTTTTCTTCAGTGAGATTTCAATATAAAAGAATTTTTCAGTTTGCAGAAAAATATTTTTAAAGTGCAAGTATATCTTATAACGATGAATCAGTCACATAAAATTGAAGGGTACTACTAGACGGGGGAAAATAGGCCTAAACCTAAATAATACGTTTTGCTTATTATCTTAATAACAAAGGCTGCTTATAATTAGGTGTGCCATTGCTCAGATGAAATTGACATAAACTAAAATGGCTCAAATACACAATGAGCCAATCAATGATCATTATGCCACTTTGATGCTTTTTGATTGGTCAATAGTTGACTGACAGATGGTTTTGGTATCTGTCAATTGTTTTTAAATTCCAGCTCTACGCCGGGAATGTTTTGCACTGAAACTACCATTTTTCTCTGATTGCAATATTGATTTCTGTCGTTTACTGATTCTAAAATCAATTCGATGATTCACTGACTGCAAAGTCAATTTTTGTGATTCGATGATTTCAATATCAATTGCTGTGATTCACTGATTACAATATCGATTTTTGTGATTTACTGGTCACCATATCAAATCATACCATTCACTTATTTTGATATCGATTTTCTGATTTGTTGATTGCTATATCCTGAACTAGCAAGGCTTCTGATTGCAGCTCAACGAGGTGAATCTGAATCTGAAGAAGTACATGGAGCTTGAGGGTGAAATGAGACGTGCAAGGGACAACGCTGAGAAGGAGCTTAGAGAGACACAAATCCGTCTATCTGGATTAGAGGACGTTGACGTAAAGCAGTTGAAGAATACGGTCAAGAATTTGCAACGCCAGGTAATTTGCCAGTGTTTTCCCTTTTCTTAACGTGTTAGATAAATATCAAAGAGTTGAGTAATGAATGTGAGTAAATTGAAATTGCAGCAAGGATCGAGCCTTGTCTTACCCCAATCAGGTCTAAAATTCCACTACTATGTGTCTCATACTTTTCTGCTACTTTATTACAAGATACACAAAGTACTGCTCATGCTTATTTGTTACAGCTGTTTCGACACTATAATATAGTATGCAGTTGCAAATCCTTAATTGAAGCCAATTTAAGGTATTCATGTTCCTTATACTCTTTTCCATAGAACGCTGAGCTGGAAGAAGATCTTTCAAGCATTCTTCACCAGACGAAAGGTTTCCAAAGGTTTGAAGAACGGTACGAAAGACGAGTTACGACATTGGAGATTGAGTTGGAAGAGTGGAAGAATGCAGCTGAGGTTGCCCGTGCTGAAAACGAGGCCTTACAAATAAAAATGAAGAAAATGAGGGCACAGCTAGAATCTGCAGTATGTATCTTTGAATGTCTTCCCATATTTACCCTCCATTCTCAATTCACTTATGTCTTCATTTTATAAATAGGTTCTTTTAAAAGTTGCTTTTCACCGGTCTGTCGTAACGTCGTATAGGCAGAGCTGTACACGCTTTAAGCCAATAGAACAGGGCGGTTCTGAGCTGCTACTCCAAGTTTCGAGCTAAATGCAATCACCAGACAACTGAGCAGTAGTATTTTATCCAACTACGAATTATCAAGAAAACTTAACGATGGTTTTATTAAAGTAGTGCTAAGTCAAACATTGATGAATAACAGCTTCACCGGTAGATCATGTGCTTCATTTTCCAGGGGCTTCTGTCCCAAGTTGCTTGTCAAACGCAATTCTCCTTGTTACTTCTTTTCGCCTTTTTTGCTGCGCTCTTCTGATTTACGATGGTTCAAATCTTTCTATCAGGAGTCCTCAGCCATGATCCTGACTTCAAGATACAAGCATGCCCAAGTCGATGTTGAAGATGCGACTGAGCGAGCTGATGCCGCTGTTAAGGCGCTTATGTACAAGACACGTGGACTTGACTTTATCGAAGGCAAAGTTACGACCGATACACGCACCATCAAGATCGAACACGAGAGGTGAGTTACAGGGGTGTCATTTGCACGATGATTCTGAGGCAGGGGTATTTGCTTACGAGAGACATAAAACTTCAGAACAGTAAGCTCTCAGCATAAAATCATGTTTTAACGTTCGGTTCTCTCTAGCAATAAAAGCATATGCACATTGGTAAAGGAAAAGGCTTGGTGTTAATTTGGACTAAATACAAGCAAAAGGCTTAGCTGAATAGCAACACAAGTACGAACACATGGGTAGAAAGAAACGACGGTTTCGATATTATTGTGCTTGTGCCTATGATTATATCAAGCCCGTCTTCATTGGAACATAGAAATTCTGAAATGTGCGCCTTTGAAGACAACGAATCAGTGTAAATGGAGAAACGTACACGCCTGGCAAAATTGCTGCAAAATCTTGTTGACTTGTGCCTTTAGAGCCTCTTGATAAACACATCTGATTGACTTACGGTTTGCAGGGTGAAGGTGGTTGCACGAAGTCTTTATCTGTGCTAGAAAGTGCGATATTAGGCCAGTTTTTGAACTATAATCGCAAAGCATGATGGTCGCACAAGAGTATTTAACGATTCTTTGTCAATTAAAACCTTTCCATTTTTTCTAGTGAATTTACAACAAGTCCAGAAACAATCCAGTTGTCTTCACGCTCGCCATCACGGAGATAATTGACATGACTAAATATAGTGAGTGACTTAGTTAATTCACACTTCCACAGCAATCAAGCCCTATTACTGTTCATTTTAACATATTTCAATATAATTTAAATCATTTGTAGTGTATCTCGAATAAAGGTGGGAACAAAAGCACAGCCTCAAATCAGCCCCTAATAAAAAACAACGAACTTCTAAACGAGGCTCCACGTCACTGCTTTGTTCTGTACAAAAAGCCAACACATTACTGTGGTCTTAAACATTATTAACAAAATTGTTATTTGTGTACATATTTCGAATACGAAAAATTTCTGGCGGTACAAAGTTTGAAAATTGCTGTGAAAAAAGCAAACATTTTGTAGCATACTGAAAGCTCTTTCGGTTGATACTCCTCAGAGTATTGTGAAGTTTTGTGTTATGCTCTGAGGAGTGTCAGACGAAATTGCTTTCTTGATATTTGCTTAAAAATATTTTCCTTTTTCAAAGCCATTTTCTTATTTCGAATACTTAACTAGCATTAATCATTATAGGTTTTGTGGCCAAGAAAGAACTCAACATCAACAACGACAGCTCTTGTTGATTAGTCTCTCAAGAACAGGACATTATTTGCTACGTGGAACTTAATTTATTGTTTTGCTTTAAAATTTAATATTTCTGATCATTTAAGAGTTTGATGCAAACTTTACTTCAAAATTTATTCAGACTTGATGCAGTTCACAATTTTTCCGTTTTATCTAGTATTCCAAAACTTATTCTCCTATTTAATTATACATTTTCTTAATTAGATGCAGCTAATTTTTCTAAGGATTTTCTCACATGCTTTATGTTTTCAGCATTTTGAGACCTTTTTTAAGATTTCTAAGGAACACAATGAATTCACAATTCACAATGAATTTTTAACCGAGCATTTAGATTTTGTGCTGTGATATCCAAACAGATTTAGTGCTTTATTTTGGCGATTCCCTCACTCACAACATCCTTGATATTTGAATTAAGATGTGACTGGTGGATTACTTTCGTAAGAAATCCTTATAATAATTAGATAACAGCTTTTTGTCGCTCTAGGGAAGAGACAAAGGCATCATTATCTTAACAGTTTAACTTTGTGTGCTTGGCGACTGTTAGACCATCTGATTTTGCAGTTTAATGCTGGAGTGTATTTTCTATAAACCATTTAAAGCATCAAAACATTGTGCAATTGTCTCAGTCTCATACTCACTCTCGCTGTGTTAGCTGCTCGTTAAATTTGCTGTTTAACTTTTAAGGAAGATTGCTCTTTTAATCAAAAGACAAAATTTCATCGAAATATTGCTTTTTGTTTCCTTTTGATTTCATTTTTATTAGTACATACAATTGTTCATACAACACTATTGGTTTTTAGAACATTTTGGTTCTAGGCTGCTAATCTGAGTTATGTCTACAGCTCTGCCTAAACAGCCTCGTGCACTCTATGACAGACCGATAAACAGTATGTTTAAATACTTTATATACCCTATATTTCAAAGGAAATTTAATGCTGATTAAAAAATGTTGCTTTAAAAGTCAAGAAGTTTAAAAATAAATTTTTTAAAAACCGAGAAAGTTCTAAAGCAAAAATATATAAATTTTTCCACGGCCGTCAGTGCTTCTAGCGAGACGGAGGCAATGAGGACCTCCGGGTTCGGGAATTGGACGGAGGTCATTATCTCGTCATATATTCTCGAAATCTCCTCTAGATACACGCACATTTTTTATGACAAATTTCAAAGTATTTCCTTCAAAGTTTAGTTAAACCAGCCATCTGTGACTGGCCTGTTGCGTCCAACTCGGCGAGAAAGACAATCTTTGAAGATGATGCGAGAATGAGATCTTTGTAACTTAGCTTGTTAATAGAACTTTCTATGAATTTTCTCAACTGACTAAATCAACTAGAATTACGTACATTTAAGTACAGGAGATCTGAAGTAACGTTTGCTCTGGGCATGAGCAGGTAAATATTGGCTGGTAGAAGGAAAATGACATAGGATGAGTAATACAGGAATGCGGAGCTAAGAGACTGTAGAGGGAAATTGCAGTGGAATACACGATATGCAGTGGAATCAAGCTATTTCAAGTTGTGCGTGGGCCAAGAAAATCTTATAATAGTTGAAATGCCGTATATCGGGAGTTCGGTATCCAGGGAACATTTAAAGGGACCATATTTCTAGTTCGTAATAGCGAGAAGTTCGTAAATGGAGCATAAATGAAGTTCCTGGTAGTTGGATTCTACTGCAATACTTTTACTGCAGCTACAAATAACACTGTATTGAATAACACTTTTTGCTTCTAATTATCACAATCAAATTCTCCTTTTTTGCTAACGTGCACAAACAATTGCACTGTTTTTTTGCAGTACAATGTCAACTTCAAAGTTTTTCGTCTGACACTTTTTTCAAAGCCATTTTCAGATTCACATTCATTTATTTCGCTAGTCAATTTTTTGCATAAGGTTACAGTTAATGACTTCCCCTACTAAAGAAATAGACGATAAGAGCTAGGTGAGTTGACCAAATCTTGGTATCCTTAGACTTAATGCGCTAAAAGTTTTTTTGATTCAACGAAAAAAACTCAAAATCATAGAATTTTAGATGAGAGTGTACAGCATGCCATCTATAATTGAATTTCGAAATTTAATGCAGTTTTTTAGAGGTCGAAATTCGTTGGCTAGTTCTGCATCAGTAAATGTATTCCATGGTGTTATTTCAGGTTATATCGTTCAAAATATAATTTTCTAGAAATTTGTTTTTACTGACAACAAGCTGTGTAACTCTGTCATGTAAATTTTTATCAATTTGATATCTTGTAAAATTCTTCTAATTACATTAAGAATTATTATATATTCTTTTTATAGCAAACAGCAACGAGTATAAAAGGGAAATAATTAAGCAGATAAATTTTCTAAAGGAAGGGCCCATTCATTAGATAAACAGCAACCCATGTTTTTTATCTTAAAGTGAATCAGCAAATAACAGCTAATTAAAATTGACTAATGTGAGACAAATTATTTTACCAGAAAAACTAGGGTTTCACATTCATTAGAAAACAGATGAATTTTTAAAATTGATTTTACAAATCTGTCTTAGTCGTTGATTTTACAAATCTATCAATAAATTTTATAAATCTGCTACTTCAATGTTGCAGCCCACAACTTGCAATAATTTTCAGTGTTTATTGTGTAAAAAAATTACGAAATTGCTGTGTACGAAATTACTTTGCAAGGATAATTTACTCTTAGTGCTAGAAGGAAGCGTTTATCCATACGTAAGAAGAGTGCTACCATGTGCTGCCCACTACACAGGGAACGACCAGGTAAAAACAAGGAATTTAAACAAGGACTAGGAATGGTATCTTTCTCATTGAAGGTATGTCTATACATATGATAATGAAGGCATGACATTGATGGTATGCATGTACTTAGACTTTCCCCAAACTCTATTTTTTGTTTACTCTGTAAGGCATTCGTACTACTGCGAGGGTATTTGTTTAATTAAAACATGTCTAGCATGTACTATAACAAATGCTAAAAGTGATTACCGTAAACTCTCGAATTAGGCCCCTGGGCGTTTATTTATTTTTTATGCTTTTGGATGAGCGGTTGGTTATTCAAGGGGGCATATACAAGGGGGGCTTATAAAATTATCTGAAACATGCCAAATAAAAGATCTTTTGGAACTCGCTGTACATAATGAAGACATTATAAAAAGACCTCGTATTTTTAGTAGGAATTTCTTTATGAACATCTAATTAATCTTTACCAAAAGTGCGAATTTTTGGGGTAATTCAATAAAACGCCACAGGCAACATCAGATGGCAAAAATCAACAAATCGAGGGGGGGCAATTCGAGGATTCACGGTAGCAGTGGGGGCTTATTCGAGGGGGCTTTCTGACAATTTATATTTCTAGGGTGAGGGTTTTTTCGAGGGGTGGGGGCGGTGGTTACGTTTGGGAAAGCAATCTCCTCCCACTGATTAGGGATCCCCTCCGTATTTGAATCTCGCTTTCAACCTAGCCTCGCTCATATCCTGCCTCACATGCAGAAGGAATATGGCGTCTGCAGTCCAAACTTTTGACATGATGCATCGAGCTCTTCGAAGAACTCCTTCTCTGTCATTTGCAAGGTGATTCATTTGCATTTATGACAAATTAGATAATTTTATTAGAAATCAATTAGTAGGCATTAGTTCTGTCGCGATCGTTAGTTTGTAGACGGCGTGTCCCTTGCAAAGTGAAAAATCTTAACACTGCTCTCCCCTACTACTAGACTTTCTCAGGTAGTGCATGGATAAATATATGGTACAATACTCACGATTTGGTAAGAGTAGACATATCATCGAATAGGGTCTTTATTGCTAGATACATTGTGCTGAATGTTTTTAAGAGTTTGCCCCACTTGAGAAGCAAACCTAAGATATTTGACTTAGGTTTGCTTCACTGTTGTGTTTCGATGCATCCTGCACACCCATAATAGCTATAAAAATGCCTTATTTCCTTAGTTCACCTTAGTTCTCATTCAAAAATGTTCCTGCTTTCTCTTTTTCTTGCTGTTTCTTGATTCTCTACTTTGGTATCTTTTTTCATTGTTGCTAGCCCTTATGGAGATTTTCTCTGGAGATTTTTCAAAAAAGAAAAAAAATTTCCCTCAGAATCACTGACCAGATATGTTGAATTAATTTTATAATCACAAAAATATAATGTTAGAACTGGATAAAGTAGAAAATATTGTCTAATTAAAAAAATTTCTCCTTGCAGACAAGTATGGAAAAGTCATCAACACCAAGAAAGAATTTCCAGAAGAGCATTATCACTTTCATGTAGGTCATGTTGTGCAGCAGCAGATGCAATGCCATTACCAGGAAAAGATGGTCAACCAAAAGTGTACACAGGAAAAATTCAAAACATTGTCAATGAAATATCTAAATTAACGCTAGGAGAAGTATCAGATCTAAATAGTTTGCTAAAGGTATGGTTGGTTTAACTAAAACTATTGACAATTACTTTTCATATTGTTTCAACTTTAGGATTGCTTTTAAAATGTTAGAAAAGCAATTTACCCTTCTTAAATGGTGGCTAGAACCCCAAAAATAGTGCTTTATTTTTATATTTTGTCTGCAAATGTCCCTACAGTTTTATGAAAAAGATGCTATTTGCATCTAGGTTGCAATACATAGAAAATTACTTACAAACAATATGTTGTTGGGTATAGACCAACAAACAATCAGTTGTTTGGTATAGACCTTTATATGGTTTAAGAATCTCTTCTCCATTGAATGCCATATCTGTACTGCAGTTGTATCCCTCTTGGGTTATCTTACTTTATATTTTCTGATTGTGTTTTGTGTTGCCTTGTTTAATCATATGTAACCCTTATGAATACCTTCAAATATTCTTGCTTTTTGAAATAATATGTTAATTTCAGGAAACCTTGAACATTCAGGATGCTCCCATGATGTCAGCTGCGGCTATGATGGCAGCTCCTGCTGCTCAGGTATGTCATGCAGTGGAATATATTTTGTAAGGCAGAAATACACAATCTGTTTAAAGTGACAGTTCTACTGAAAGTGATAAAACCGAATTTGTCTAACAATCGTTTTTTATCAATCAATAAAGACTCTTCAGTCTTTGAGAAGGTTGGCTTTTTCCAGGATAAAACTTCAGCTTAAAAATATATGAGCAGAGAAGTTTCTGTTTTGGCTTATTGATTGAAAATTTCCACCAAGATTTTCTGAAAGATTTATTAGATTCCAGAACTAGGGGGACATAGCCCTCTCCCCTTATCTTTGTGGTCATGCATGCTGCAGCTGATCTAACGGTGTTAAAAGCTATAGCCAATTTTTGAAATTCTGAGACACTGTTCATTGTGACTTCGAAACAATTACAAAAGCTAATCAATTTTGGCTGATAATGAAGGTAGGTAGGCTGGTCTTTGAAACACATCAAGTTGAAACTGATCAGTTCAGACAGATTGTATATTTAAACCTTTAATCTATTGTGATAATAGCCTTAAAGACTTTAAAGAATTGTTCAAAGTTGCAATTGTTGACAGCTACCTGTTTGAATAGGGAATTTTTTTGGTCTTTGTTTTCCACATTTTATGTTAAAGTTTTCAAGATATATCTCTTTGATACTATTTACTTAATGAAATTAAGCTTTTGGAAATCAGTAGAACATTAGGGAAATTTAGGGAAATTGGCATTATATAATTAGTTTTTGCATTGTGCTTTAGGCCCTATTTTTGGACATTGGCTAAAAATAAGCTGATAATGTTGTAATTCAAAGTGTATTTTTATCAGCAAGAAACATTCTCAATTGGTAACTGAGTCAGGAAGAAACTCTAAGAGAAGGCATTGAGATACCCTGTATATATAATTTTGTAGGTAACAAGCATTAAAAACTGAAAGTAAGAAATGTAATAAATGATAGGATTTGTTGTTCTTATACTTTGCCTTAGTAATGGCACGTATTTGTATTGAAGAGAGAAAATGGTGTTTTATTTTGAATTTGATACAAATTAATTGTGTTATTGGTTTTCATTTATTGTTTATCTTATGATTTTCAAAGGAAGCTGAGCCTGAACCACAAAAGGAAGAGCAAACAGAATTCACTATAAAGTTAACAAAATTTGATGACGGTTCAAAAATAAAGCTGATCAAAGAAATCAAAGCCTTGTTACCAGAAATGAATTTGGTTCAGGTTTGTTATGTACTAATTCAATTACAGGTCACAGATTTATGGAACCTTTTTTATTTGAAACTGTCAGTCATATTCAATGGCAGCATGCCCCATGGCAGTTTTTCCTAGAGCAGTTGAAAAAAGTAGACCAAGACAGAAGACCTATGTACTTATACAAAAGTCTTTCAAGTTTTGATTTAAATCTTCTGTCATCAAGAATTAAAAGTATTTTAAATACCAGTTCTCTGTACCCTTCAACAAGTTTTCATCTTGAAGGCCCCAGCTCAATCACAAATTTTGTTTTCTATTTCAACTTTACATTTGGCAAAGATACCAACAGTCAAAAATGCCAACAATTATATTGATTGTGTCCAGTTTAGCTACTACCAAAAAGCATATTTTTAAATAAAGTGATCAATGTGTTACTTTATTCTTTTTCAACAGGCAAAGAAGTTTGTTGAAAGTGTACCGCAGGTTATCAAAGAGAAGCTTTCAAAAGAAGACAGTGAAAAAATCAAAAAGCAAATTGAAGCTGTTGGAGGTTCTGTGGAGATTGAGTAAATTTTTACAAGTATGCTAAGCAACATTTAACTGGCCTAATTGAAATTGTATAAGGACAATTCATAGTCAGTTAGAACGGATTTGAAAAGAAGAAAGTGCTTTAAATATTGAACTACAAAGAGAGTACCCATTTTCTTGGGCATACCCTTGCAAGATTCTAAGGATCAAATCTAGTTTAACCGATTTGATTGCCAATAGTGTAGAATGTGTAGTAACAACTGTTTGCAAATCGTATTGTTTTACATGATTTTATGGCCTTTGTTCACTTTTTGCTATACCAAACTGTACTTTTCTCCCTGCGTCAAAGAAGTCTATCCTGCGCAGAGAGTCGACTGGGTTTGCCAAAGACAGGAATATTGACTTGGTTTCCTAATGTCTAGCTGAATGGAAAACTTAGGACTAAAGAATTCTATCAAACGATATCTCGCGACGCAGAATCTTTTGATATCTCGATCGATTTTTGTGCAAGAAACTCTTACTGTTTTTCCGGTTTATGGAGTTGATGCACTTTCGAAACATTTGTCACCGAATCGATGTTTCTTTTGATTAAACTGCGAACAAATTTTTCCAGAGTTTTTTTCGTGGCCATGATATTCATGTATCATTGGTTTGATGCACAAATAACCAATCAGAATGAATATCCACCATATCGTACTTTTCATGAGCGAGTTGCGTTGAACTTTGTTTTGGTGTCAAACGTCAGTTTCGATGATTTAAGAATTAGGCATTTTTTGTCGGGTTCACCCACAATAACTAATGTATGATGTTAAAAAGACAGAGGAAGATCCTAGCCAATCACCGAATAGACCGACTGCCCTTAAAGAACTTACTTAAATTCATTTCTTTGCGCTGAAGACAAAAAATTATTTGAAGTCTTGGGTGCAACACATTTTTTTAAACATCTCATGATGATTATAATAATGATGATACTATTTAATTAGTTTGTGATAAAGTATCATATTTGATAAATCGATTTAATTGGCAATCGAGTTCTGCAAATCCTTCGAAAGCTTGTGTTTTTTATCATGTTTCACAGACATCAAAGAAGAGTTTCATTGGCAGGACTGTGCGTTTTCATCTGAAAAATTATCTCAATTAATTTCTTTATGACCTTTTTTGTAAAAGCTTATGACTTGACAAGAAACATTTAAAAACATTGTGGTGACGTTTCTCATGAATATTTTGTAAATATAACTGTTTGCCCGACGCAACCATTTGCTTTCATGTTTAGAAATTTCAACAAATTGCTGTGTTCTCCTTGCTTTTAGCCAAATCTGCCCCTTTTAAGAAAAAACCCTAAAATCTCCCGAACTTGAACGTTTTAGGTCAACAGGTCTGTGTTAATGCAGGACCTATTCATTCTATAAGAAGTCATAAAAAGTCAGGATCAAGTTTATATCTGTTCTTCTTTCGCTGGTGTAAACGGGGGCTAAACGCCGAGACAGAAACAGGACCGTCGTAAATGAATTTCACTACGTTGGGCTAAGGATAGAAAATTCTGCCTACACTATTGGCCTGACATGTTTTATAAGTGGTATGTTTCAGATAAATTCCGATCGAAGCAGATATTTGGCAACAACAGCACAAATTTGATGATAGACCCTCGTTCTAGTTGGAAGGGGATGTGACGTTCCCACCCCTGCCCCCCCCCCTCCTTATCATGACGGCCTTGCTTGAAACTTATCGTTATTGATTGTACCGCAAGAGAGTTGCCGTTACAAGGACAACCTGCTTCTACCTTCTTGATGAAACTATATTCTTAGATACAGACAAAAAACTGATCTTATTTGTCATCATAAAAGGGCGACTTGTTCATGAGATTTCTTTAGTTCGACTTTCGCATGGTGTTTTGGCTAAGCCCTGTCGATAAATCGTGTCAGGGACGCCGGGAAGGGGGGCGTGGGGTTGAAATGCCTCTGTTGACTTTTGATAGGAGGGGCAAGGGGGCAAAGAACCATTTACATAGTGCCCTTAACGCCGGCCGTTTGTAATTGTCAAAAAATTCATTTGAAATTCTGACGTAACTGCCTTATTCATGACGACATTTGTCAAACTTGCAAAAAAATTCTGATGCCAAAAGTTAGCCAATTTTCAAGAAATCTACAGAAGTTCGAAGCAAATGACAGTTGCAAAAGAATTTTTAGTAGCTGGGAATTATTTTTCAAATACCCTTTTACTCAAACCTACCCCCTTGCCCCTTGGTTGTTCTGGCGTCCCTAAATCGTGCCTCTATTTATCCAGTTTGAAATTCTGATCGTGTTCCTCTAAATTGTTTCCTATTTCTAGCAAATTTTCCTGTTCCCTTTGCTAGAGACACCACTGATATATTTGCGGGCAGTTTCTGCAAAGTACAACGTTGTCGTTGTAACACATCAACACGTGTTACAATAACACCTGTTTACCTGTTGTTTGCTTAGTTACCAAAATAACCCTGGTCCTTGTGAAAAGCTTTGGATTTTTTACAACTTATTTTGCTTTTATTAATGTTAGGACAATTTCAATAAACACAACTTCATTAAATCTTTGTACGATCGAAATCGTTATTCATCCATCCATAGTCCATCATATCGACCCATATCGAAGCGAACTAAAAAGAATCGCCACTTTCTTCAAATTTATTCGAATTATTTTCTTCAAATACGTATTTTTCACTTGCCGTGTTGCTCAAATCTCTCTTTTGAGTATAACCACAAATGCCACAAATGTAATTATTTTGGATTTGAAGAAAAGCTTTCAAAATTAACCAAGTCATCTACAAAAATGCAGCGTTTTCATGTGTCAGTGTTTTGGAAATTTCCACAGACACTGCAAGACTAGGTATAGCATGATTTTACAAAGATCATTTGTATGCATCGCCGCAACTTGATTTTGATAAAAAAATGCAGTTGTGGTTCTTGAAATCATGACCAATGACAAGGCAGTACGTTCGGTTGATTTGTTGAATATCAAGGGTGATTGGCAGTTGTGAAAGGCAGGAAGATGTTTTGTAAATTGACTGTTCAATTAAGGGGATTTCATTGAAAATCGAGATTAGATAACAACAGTGGAGGAAATAAACCAATGACCGATCACCACGACCTGCTCTGATGCGCATGCCCATACCTAGGGTCTTCCTCTTATCTGGAAAGACACGTAGGTTTCTCTTCATTGAAGTCTTCAAAGACGACAGGACGTGTGAAAAAGTACTAGGCTAACTCAAGTAACAGTTCAGGATAGTTTGCAATCATGAAGTATTTTATTTTATTAATAAGTGTAGGTCTAGCATTTGCAGAAATCAAGGAAGAGAAAGATGTCTTAGTTTTGACCAAAGACAATTTTGACGAGGCTGTAAATGACCAAGCCAACATCATGGTTGAATTCTGTATGTATTATCTCAATTTATTTTTCATTTGATTTGTAACCAGTTTTTCCAGAAGCGTTTCTTTCTCTTTTTACTATTTTTCTATTCAGATTGTTTAGATTAATCCAGTGTACTTCGTTTTTTTTCTCGACTCTGTCACATTCTGTATCAAAAGGCCTAAATTTGTTTTCTTCCATTACGTGTCAGGTAAAATATTCGATAATCAGTTAAATTCAAACGATTGTATTGGAAAATACATACATACATGCAGAAAATGTATTTTGATCAAAAAATTTACTGTAATTGGAAATAGTGATGCTTTTTCAGCATTTTAATGGTAAAAGTTGCGGCTTCTAATATGTCTTCTTTCCACCGACTTGTAGATGCACCATGGTGTGGACATTGCCAATCCCTTGAACCTGAGTATGCCAAGGCTGCAAAAACATTGAAAGACGAAGGCTCTGAAATCAAGTTAGCAAAAGTTGATGCTACCATTGAAAACAAACTTGCAGAGAAGTACCAAGTTCAAGGATTCCCCACCATCAAGTTTTTCAAAAAGGGGAAACCTATTGAATTCACTGGTAAGAATTAAGAATTTTCTTTTTCAAATGTCAAATAATTGGTCGAGGAATCATAATTTAAAAAAAAACTAGGTGCATGATGATGTGTAATTGCCGACAATTTGATCTTCATTCTTTTGCTTTACATGTCCTTGTCTCCAGCATCAGAAACACGTGGGCGTTGTAGCATGTTTAATCAGGTGGATCTTTTATATGTAAACAGCACCGAGGCAAATAGTTCCTTGCTTGTTTTAAGATGCATAAAACACCAATATAAAGATGTTAGTTCACCTTGGCGACTTTCTGCTCAAGAAATCTTTTAGCAGTATTTTGCTTTTTGATTATTGTACAAGAAAGAAAAAGAAAACAACAGGGTAAAAGAAAACACCAGTTTAAAGTCAAGTATAAAAGGGACTGAAAATAGTTGGAAAATTCCAGGTTTAAAAATGTGAGATATTCTCATCTTATTCTAAAGTGAACAGCAAAAGAGGAACAAAGGAAAAATTCCAAATAAATTAAGGAATTTTTGCAGAATCGAGGGATTCCAAAATTCTTATGCTTTATCCTTACCCTGGCCTTACCCTGGTTATCTCTACTCTTAACTTGCTTTTTTTATAACCATGAAGAAGCATGCAGTGACTTGACCATTCTTTGATGTAATGACAAAAACAATTCATTCCATTTTAAAGGTGGCCGAACAAGCGAAGAGATTGTTTCCTGGTTGAAAAAGAAGACTGGCCCACCAGCTAAAGAATACACAGATGCTGAAGAATTGAAGACTTTCGTTGAAGGAAGAGAGGTTGCAGTTGTTGGTTTCTTCAAAAACAAGGATTCAGATGAGGCAAAGAAATTCATTGAAGCTGCTTCTGGTATTGATGATGTTGAATTTGCAATCACTTCATGTGAACAGTGCTTGAAAGCATACGAACAGGAAAAAGATGCTTCAGTTGTTCTCTTCAAAAAGGTAAATTGAATAGAACTATGCATAGCCTGGCAATTGAATTTTATCCTGCCCAAAATAAACATTGTTGTTCATTGCAAGTCTTGCACCTGTTCTGATAATTTCAATTTCTGTCAACAAACACTGTTAAAAAGCTTAATAATTAATCTGTTACCATCAATCGGATTGCTATTAATCTAATTCGTTTTCCACAGTTTGATGATGGCAAGGCTGTCTTTGATGGTGAATTCAATGCAGAAAATATCAAGGCTTTTGTTGGCTCTGAGAGAATTGCACTCGTTACAGAGTTCAGTGATGAGGTAAGTTAGCAAGTTTTTCAAATTTCTCACAAATAGAAACAGAGTGGTGTTGAAGAATGAATGATGATGCTGATATCTAAAGAGACTCTAAATATGTTTTATGATAAATCATTCTTCATGCTGCTGTATTCTGTATGTACCTTGGTTTTTGTTTCAACAATATATCTATATAATTTCAATGTGTCCCTTGTTCATCTCTGTGATCTTAATTTCTTCTTTAGACACATGCTTCAGGGTTTGTCACATTTTGCACTATGTTTTAAATATCATATTTGTTTCTGTTAATGAGCTGTGTCTTCCCAGACATGTGCACACTTCAAATAAATTGTTTATATGCAATGATCATTAGTAGAACTATTTATGTCTATCATTTAGGGTCTATTCATTGTTAATTTTTTTGTTTTAAGACTGCTGGTAAAATCTTTGGTGGAGAAATCAAAAGCCATATCCTGTTGTTCATCAGCAAATCAGCAGAGACCTTTAAGGAGACCATTGACCAGTTCACAGATGCTGCTAAGTCATTCAAAGGAAAAGTTCTTTTCATCTACATCAATATTGATGTTGAAGACAATCTCAGAATAATGGAATTCTTTGCATTGAAGAAGGAAGATGCACCAACCATTCGTGTCATTAACTTGGCAGAAGATATGGTCAAATTCAAGCCTGAAGGAAATGACCTCTCTGCTGATGCTATTAAGTCATTCGTTCAAAATTATCTTGATGGTAAATTGAAGCCACATCTCATGAGTGAAGATGTCCAAGAAGGTTGGGATGCCAAGCCAGTTAAAGTACTTGTTGGAAAGAACTTTGATGATGTGGTGAATGCAAAGACACACAATGTTCTCGTAGAATTCTGTAAGCCTATTCAAAAGTTTTTATACCAATTTTGTTAGTACCTTGCAAAACATTTAGTGCTGGAGGATCTTTTCAATGTTGATATTTGCAATTTTCAGCTAACTTATATTGTTATTTAGTCCTAATTGAAACTAATTGAAATGCAAGTTAATGGTATGAAGGAGCTATTAGCAGAAAGCGTTAGAAACTTTTTTAAAATAATATTATATACCTTGAGAAGTTACAATTTTTGTCAGTGTTGGTCATACAGGCTATTCTTTTGTTTATTTGAAACTTTTTGTTTGTCTTTTGCCAGATGCCCCATGGTGCGGACACTGTAAGCAACTTGCTCCTATCTGGGATAAACTTGGTGAGAAATACAAGGATAACAAAGATGTTATGATTGCAAAAATGGATTCAACTGCAAATGAAGTAGAGTCAGTCAAAGTGTCAAGCTTCCCAACTATCAAATATTTCCCCAAGGATGGTAGGGGTCCAGTTGACTACAATGGAGCCAGGGAACTAGATTCTTTTGTTAAATTCTTAGAATCTGATGGCAAGAGCCAAGATGCAGGTCCAGGAGAAGGAGAGGGAGAAGAAGATATGGGACCTGAGGGTGAAGAGATGCCATCAGAGGGAGAAGATATGGGACCTGAGGGAGAAGAAATGGGACCTGAGGGAGAAGGAGAAGAACAAAGTGAACAAACCAGAGACGAATTATAAGAACTTAATTAGCTGTGTTTAAACTTTATCAATTGCATGATGATCTACTAAACATTCAAAGATTTTATATTTTCAACACATTAAGCTGAAAATCTGACCTAAGATGGACCCATATTCAAAGTTTTTCCTGAAAAAAGTAAGAAGCCCAAAAATGTCATATCATCATGCAACCATAGTGAATTTGTGATCATTTGAAAAAGGAAATGATATCAAGTTTATGGTTTTGTTAAAATTTAAGTCTTGTCTACTGTTACAATTTGTTTTTATTCAATACTATTTTACATAGAAAATTAATGTTAAACAGTATTTATAGAAGCTGCTTATGAGAAATACTTTGGTAGAAAGTTGCAACAATTGAGTTAGCCGAATTGCAACAACTTCAATCAACATTGACTCATCAAACACATTTACTAATGGTATTTTCAAGGAGTTGTTTGCCATCCAACAAATTCCAAATGTTATAATAAGACTACAGATTTTGTGTAAAGAACACTTGTCGTGAGTAGATTTTCTCGCCAGTACACCATATTGTCCTGTTGTTTTTGAAGTGATATTTCTGTTCAACATACTTGTTTCCTTTTGTCTATTCTTCTGACAGAATTCATTGATTGAACCTGAGGGTAGTAAGAGGGGCAGGAGTATAGCTAGCAGGGGTGTAGGGGGGTATAAACCTTCCCCAGGGGCACCTACAAAGGGTGGCTAGAGGGGCAGCTGCCCCTCCTGCCCTCTTTGAAGAGGGGCAGAAACCTGCTACTCTCGTTATGTTAATATCTATAAGAAAATACTAGAAAGATGATAACACCAGCACAAAAATGCAAAGAATGAAAAGTTCGTCTCTGACAAGGTCGGCCACAAGTGGGAGAACGGCAAAGGTAATAGATGATAAACAAAAGACGTGTTCCCTCCGAAGTACTCCAGAGACCTAAGGAGGATAAATCGGTATAAAAACTTGGCAATCAAAATTTTACATCCAGCCCATTTATAACAGCCATGAATTTTAGAAAACCAAACATTGTGTATAGCCTTTAATACAAACATTTAATACCCTTTTTCATTCATGGATAATTTCGTCAACATTTTCTTTATGTTTAGAATCTTTGATGGTAAAAAACCCAACTGTATGGGTGGCACATATTCTAGTTAATATTTTATCATGTTACCCCCAGCCTCGCCCCCTCCCACCTAGGAATGCTCGATTATGTTAATAGAAAAATTCAACGATTTGCCCTTGGCACCAACACTGCCCTACCTGCCCTAATCTTGTGCAGGCGTCCCTGCCCCCCCCCCCCCCAACTTCATGAATCTGTGGGTTAAATATTCAGTTTGTCTACAAAACACTTAGTTTGTGGGTAAAATCATCTATCAGTAGGTAAAATAGCACCTAAATTCTTCTCTATTCATGTCTTCGTCGGTAAGTTTTTCTATTGATGACCCCCTAATCTGGAAGGTCAAGCGACGCCCCTGGGCAGGGGGGGCAATATCCTAGATCCATTGAATTAAAGAATTAAAGTTTGCTAATGGATTAATAAAATTTTGGTTTGCTTCATAAAGTTATGTACAGAGACCAAAGAGCAATGATTTAGTGGGAAAGAGCCAGGGACGTAGAACCAGGAGGGGGCTCAGGAGGCCTTTTCTATTGTTTTTCGCAACATTTTTTTCAAGAGCCTTCTGTTTTTTGATAGCACTACACTACTGGAACTAATAAAATTAGTATCATCATACTTGCACAGGTTAAACTTGTTCAGCAACCATGTGCTGTTGTCAGTAAAGGACCTGTCAAAATTTGCAAAATCTAATACAAAACAGATAAACAGTTACAGAAGAGCACTAGTATCAAGATGATAAATTGGCAAAAGTGAAAGTTATGGAGCCAAAAGCTTGTGTTTATGGGGCCGTATCTCACTCTCAGCCATTTTCTGTATTCCCTTTTTTGGGTTACCTGATTAAAGTTCCAAATTCAAAACTCTAGCAACAGATTTTGTGACGTCATCATTTTACAACTCTATAACCAAGGAACAACAAACGTCATGAAAGAGATCATGCAGATAGCACAATGATACCATAATTTTGACTGTTAAAGATAGATGTTGCTCCAGCATTTTTTTACTACACCCACACAAAATAAATCGGTGACAATGACTCTTCATGATGTTTTTGTAGCACAAAAATACTACGGTATTTTGGCTAGAAATGCGAATCCAGAAAGAAAATTTGCAAGTACCTCATTTTATTTCCTGGTTGTCGCCCGAAAGTAAAATAGTCAAACATATATGCTCTTTCTTGAATCTTTCTGAAACTTTTCGATATGCTTGAAAATAATTTTTTAAAGCTTATAAACCACCGTTCTGTTGCATGCAGGGAGATATTTAGAATTTTTAGGATTTTATTTCCATTATGTGTGCAAGAGGCAAGTGTTTATTTGAGGCTAAGCGCCTGTAAAAGGAATATGATGATTTTATTTTGGGTATTATTTTGGTTGTAGATCGTTTGCATGAACCTATTCTTGGTTTCAGCTTACTTATAAGAAGAATGATGCATTCAATCATGCCTTGGTCGAATAAATCAATGGTCTTAAACCTTTAGTTGCCGTTACGCGAAATTTTTATTGTGGAGTCGCCGAATATTTGTAGTGTCAGGTTTTGATACGTCGTCGTTTTTGTTCAAGTTTATTGCCGCCGTTTGGATATCGAATAGAAATTTTGAACATTCTTTGTTGTCCTTCTTTCTTCTACGTTTATCTGTAAAACCTTATAGTTTTACAGTATGCATAGTAAGTAAGGGTTCAAGGTCTCGTCAGTCCTTTATTGAAATTGGTTTCATTCTCTGTCCACTTTTTTGTGTCCGTTTTGCTACATGGCTTGCCCATTTGCCACTCATATTTTTCTAAGTTGATTTGCATGGAAGTGAGCATTGATGCAGCGAAAAGTTACAAATGTAAGTCAGACAAAATAACAAACGTTCAGATCTTTGCATGTTTGCATGACAATGACGCAAGCAAAACTGTGAATGCATAGAATTTTCCCGCGAATTTTATTACCTCCCTTTGATGTAGTGCAAGAAAATCAAAGAGTCAGATATTTACATTTAACGATGCGACAAAATAAGTAACTTTCATGACTTGACACAAAGCAGTGATGGTTTTTAAAACAAATTTTTAAAAAGGGCACTTGCTGGTGGGGGCACTTGCTAGTGGGGGTACTTGCTTGTGGGGGCACTTGCTAGTGGGGGCATTTGCTAGTGGGGACTCATGACACAACTAGTGGGGAAATTTGAGGGCCTGTTGGGGAAATTTCCCACTAGTTTGTATGTTAAAAGATCCCTCGATGTGATTCTATTTTTTCAAGTTATCGCAAAACTAATGGACCAAAATATACACCTCTTTGGACAAAAAACTATATACTGTGGAGGAGCTTGACCCAGACCTCTCCAAAGAGTAGGTGGAGTTGTGCTTCTTGACGAGTCCATTTCCTCTTCTTGTTGATGAAAAGGAGGAAACTGTAGGTGATACCTGTAAATAATTCTTTCTTGCTCTTCTAAAATCTTGATAGGCATATAATTCATTTGAAACATGGCTGAAAGTGAGGACATTCCTGAAATTGATAATGACGAACCCGAGGAAACTCCTGGATACAAAGCACCAGCACCGAAGTCAGTGAAGGAAATCGAAGAACTAGATCAAGACGACGAGTCCCTTGTAAAATATAAGCAAACTCTTCTAGCTGGAATGGAGGAAGGAGCTGGTAAATATTGCAAATCTTGTATTTTATAATAGTCTGATTTTTGTGTTCCCTGGCGTTCCAAATCCTAACCGTTTATGAAGGCCTGTCGTTTCGCATTGTTCAGGAAACCCTGCCGGTTCTATCAAGTATAAAGGGATGATGTTTAGTGTGTAGCACAAGATGAAATTTGCCGACATTTTCATTGCAAAATACTCAAAATGCTAAGCTGGTTTTTGTCTACTTGTCTTGTCACAAAATTGTGAACCATTAAAGGGCAAATTTCTTGCTTTCAAAACGGCCTCAACCTCACCTGATCCACCCTTTTCATCTGCCTGCTGATTAATTTCGTCTTCTCGCAGCGCCATAAACGTGCTTGTTTTATAAGCACGAAAATGTCACGAGTTATGTAGTCTGCTATCTCAGGATAAGCTAATTCTGATGCTTTAACTGTTTCTCGGATGTTTTTAACAAATTCAGTTCCTGTTTTGCAGTTTATAACATCTCTAAACAAAGTAGGTGTACTAATTAGAGAGAGCTGAATCTAGGAGTGGTTTGGAAAGGACACAGAAAAGGGGAACAGCTATTTTTATTGAAGATAAAATATTATTTGGCCATAAAACCTTAACCAAGTTGTCAAGTGACTTTGCAAGATCCTTTTTAAATGAATATTTTGAGATTTAATATAATGAGATTAATGAATATAATGAGATTAAAGAGTTTCCTTATTTCAAGATATTAGCATCTGCAGATTTTTTGCTAGTAATGTATATCATTTGACAAAAATGAGTGTATTTCTTCTGTCCATTGCATTGTTTGTTTAGACCAAACCAATTCTCACATTTTAGCTCCAAAAGATGATCAAAGGAGAGTTGTTGTACAGAAGATGATCTTCATGTCAGATGGACAGACTGATATTGAGAAAGACCTAACAGGCAATTCATTTTTAAATTTTATCAACAATACTTCTGCTATTCCAATTCATGGTTATCACATAGGTCAATATCACTATTTATGCACTTCCTCCCCTTTATAATTAACTGCAGTTTTGACTTTAATCTTCTTTTGTTTCTAAGTTTTGAAACTAAGAAAATGCTGAGACTAAAAGGATGCAACATTTAAAGATATATCTCCACTAGACAAAAAAATTCTTTGTTTGCACTGGCAAAAAGCAAGAACTATCTGCACCAAGCTCCAGCTCACAGTTCCAAGTTTCATTGAAGTTTTTTCCAAGCCTCAATTTTCTTCTTTTTAACCTTATAAGGGCTTGATTTTGTGTTCCATAGATCGCTTTGTTAGAGGCTTTTAATTGGAGGTAGAAATGAGATGTTTGTGAATCATTCTTTTTGTGAATTTTATCACATCTAGCCAAAATTTTATCATTTCCTCATCCAAAACAAAGCTATGTACAATGGTTAACATATAAAAAATAAAGTCAAAATTTGTTGGTAGTAAAGAAACAAGTACAAACAGTTTCAAATTTTAATGTGGATGCAGTGAGTTTCTTAGAAAACAAAAACATTCAAATACACATGTTTGTAACTCTCACTGGGGCAAAAATGAAGAAATTTCACCAAATGGAGACCTACAATACCTGCATTAAAACATCCAACATTGTATGACTTGGGTCAAGATTGCTTTAGTTTCACCCTCCATGTTAATTTAAGATGGAACAAAGAACAATCTCCCCCAACAATATTAGAAGAATTTATAACATGTAGCCAGGCAGACTGCCTGAACCACTGTTTACTTGTTATTTTAAGAAATGGTTTGTTGTTTTAAGCATACAGTGGAACCTCCATATAACGGACACCAGTGGCACCAATGTTATTGTCCATTGTAGAGAGGTGTCCGCTGTATGGAGGTGTCATCTTATACAAAGAAATGACCATGTGGAATTTTTGGAATCAAATATCTGTCTGTTGTTTGGAGGTTTCCGTTGTATAGAGGTGTCCGTTGATGGAGGTTCCACTGTAAATGGAACAGGCTGCTAACCCATGATTTGTTGATAGTAAGACATATGTTTTAAAATTTATTCTGGAGCTTTTATGATTTTCAAATTATATTTATAGAAGCTATGCCAAGACTGTCAAATGACTTCTGGTAGTAATATGTTTAAGAAGCTGTATAAAATAGTAAACCCAGAGAAAAGTTAGCAGACAAATAATTTCCATAATCATTTACATGCAAATTTTTGCTCAGTTTTTAGAAGGTATTGTAAAGTCCTCTGTCATTGTTATGGCTAAAGCTGAAAGTTGACATTACAAAGTGCTTTAAGACCACCTGTAACTTGCAATGCTTTCACTTTTTCAACAACCTAAACTCAAATTTTTTTTTTAATGTAGGGAATTTGGAGGCTTTGAAAAAACAGGTTATAACAATAAAGGAGGGTGTTGAATATCGTTTGAAGATCATCTTCAAGGTAAGGTTATAGTCTGATATTTATGATAAATAGATCACATGACTTTGCTGTTAATGCCCTTCTAGGTTTAGCCAAAATTCTTGCCCTGTAATGTACTTGCTCCAGTCTCTCTAGAAAAAACTAAAGCTTGTGTTGTTGTGTTATTTCCTCTCGTCCTTGTACCCATTTTTGCCTTGTCAACAAGAAAGATTCTTGCAGCAAAGGAAATTTCTATTCTGACACCCAAAAGGGCTTTAAGACATTCAAACACAATAGGGCTTTGGATGGAGTATTTCATGCTTTTTTCATCACTCATCTTACTTGTGCTCTTTATTATTCAGTCACTGAAAACCAATGGACATTATTTATTTCAATTTTGGTTTCAAAATCTCATATAAACAATATGGTGAATTTATTACAAAAGCAACTATTTTTGATCTCTAGGTGCAACATGAAATAGTGGCTGGCTTGAAATACCATCATGTTATCTCAAGGAAAGGAGTTAGAGGTAGTTCATTTTAGTTTATAAGGATGTACACAATTGGCATTTAAAAGTGATTTCTAGATTATATGGAGTGGCAGATTCCTTCTTAGCTTATTTAGAAAGCTTAAATTCAGTTTAAAGGCTAATAAAAATATTTCAGAAATTTGTTTGAAAGAAATTTAATTCCATTTCCATTGCCATTTGAATTTCCATTGGTTAGACTAAGCAAAGATCTCTTGTTACGTACCCAATTGGTATTGAAGGCTAATCCTCGGATGTTTTCTCTATCATTAATACATCTCCCGTAAAGTGATTTACACACTAAACATTACAAAACATGTATCACTTTCTGCATGTATTACTTTCTGCATGTATTAAGCCTTTACCATGGACAATTCAAAACCCAGTCTTCTTGTATAGGTTATATTTATTTGATTGTAAACTGTGTTTACTGCAGAGTTTTTCAAAAAACAGTTCTTGTGTATCATACAAATCAGGCCTTGCCTGGAAGGCATATGAAGGCCTACTTAAAAAGAGCTATGGGTTGAGTGAACTGAAAGCGTAAAAGGATGTCGCCAAAGCATATATTGCTTTAGAATAATATTGATCATGAGTTTATACCACTTATCTTTTGATGACGTTTTAAAATCAATTTTATATCTTGATTCTGGTAAGGTCTACAAGAACACATTTTGGAATGGAAACATTTTTTGTGTGCATCAAGAATGCAAACAACGTAAAAACAATTTAAGAATTGAATCTTTTAGAAATGCAATTACATTTGCAATATGCGTCATTTTCGTCCAGTTGCAAACATTTTGAAAATCTGTGTGTAAATATGGCCTTAGACCTGTTCACATGATACTGTATACAAATAAGTGCAACACAATTTCATACCCAAGACCAAGGGGATGTAGTGTTATTGAAGCTCATTCATATTATCAATGCCAAAAGGAGCCAGTTTCTACTGATGCTACTTTTGTGAACCATTTTCAAATCAATTTTATTCAGGAAGTGGAATAGAAAGCCTTTCGTTTCTTAGGAGCTTGTTTTATGGAGCACCTTCATTTTCTAAGAGCAAGGGCTGATAAATACCATTGTACTTCATTGAT